GGAACTAACCAAAAGTGCTCCCAGCACTCACCTGGAAAGAGCTCAGATTAGACCTAGACCCACAGAGAGCACTGTGCAGTAATGTGGAGAACATCCCTGGGTGGAGAGAGTTGGGGTGGGGTCATGCGTCACCTAGTCATCATTGAACCTCCAACTGGTCTTTTAAAGGAACTGTCACTGTTCTCTAGGTGCCTCAGTGGTGCCTCTGCTCTTGGTAGGATCCCCTCTCAGCCCTTGGCCCAACTTCTTCTTGTCCCTCTTCCTTGTCTTTTCCTCCTGCACCCTAGCCTTTCCCAGGGTTTTTGCAAACCTGCTCCTGCCTTATGTAGTATTAGTGTCTTTCTCCCAGTCTGCACGCAGCTGGTTTCTGGTGGCTTAGGCATCAAACACAGATAGATGCATCCGGGGACCTGCAACCCTCTCCTTACAGGGTTAGATGGGCCCAGCTTCTCACATGCCTTATGCTGTGACTTGAAATTGCGGTGCCACTAGCAGGTTCCAAAGCTCCTATTTATTCTCGAAGCAGCCTTGTTTCTATTTTGATTCTGCTAATCCAAACTGCAGTTTGGTGTTTCCACGGAAACAATTCAGTGATTGTTTGGCTTGCCAAGATGAACTGCGGGGGAGAGAACCAAATGACGTAAAACATTTTTAGTTTCTCAAATATGACTATCCACGTCTCCCCAAGAAGTCCCTGCTCCCAGCTCCCTGCAAACCTAAGGAAGATTCATTAAATAAAGGTTCAGAGCCTGTGTTTGCCCTCTAGCAAAACCCTTGGAGACTCTCCAACCCCCTGCCTTGGGCTCATCAGTTGGCAGTGCCAAGGCAGGAGAAGGGGAGGTTTCCCTACGGTGCCTCAGAAAGCCAGGGGAAGAAGAGACAGGAGCAGATGTCACAGACAAATGACAATTAGTCCTCCTGGTAATTCTTAGTATTGGCTTGCATGCCAGAGGCTCACAACTTGCCTGCTTTATTAAACCGATGTCTTCATAATGAGGAAAACTCTTCCTCAGAGCTTTCAGGATGAATTACCTGTGGTAAATCTGAATTCTCACCAGTTTTGCTGAAGCAGGCCTAGACCTGTCTACTAGGCTGTGAGTGCCTGAACTCTCTTCTCCACTACCTCTAACCCAAGCGTAGGCAGAAAAACAAATCCTCCCGATTTCGGTCTTTGAAGTGGGAGCAAGCTTCCGATTGCTTGCAGCTCCCTTTGCAAAGACCCTCAGATGAACCGAATCTGAGAGACCAGGAACTGCTGGTGCCAGTTGATGCTTAAGTAAGACTCAGCACCTGTGGAGTTCTCATCCTGGCCCCAAATGTGACTGAAGGTCTGCTTAGCAAGTGAGGGATACCCAGTAAACATGGATTTCTCTCTTCCTTTCTCTTTGTTTTTGTTGCTTTATTGTGCTAACTGGGGATCGCACACTTGGTTGTGTGCTCATCAGGGTCAGCTTCAGCTGTGGTGCTCACACACACTTGGTTACAGTGCAACAGAGCTCACGCATGTGCCGTGTGCTGGAGATCCCTGATGGCAATGCTACTGGGAGCATACTCAGACAGGTGGGCGGTGCCTGGATTCAAACTTGGGAACTCATGTCTGCAAGGCAGACTCTAGCGATGAGTCATTCTTGGGCCTGGAGATGAGTGTTCTAAAAAACAACTTGAGGGGCTGGAGACAGAGTACAGTGGGGTAGGGCATTTGCCTCACACAAGGCCAACCAGGTCGATCCTCGGCATCCCATATGATACCCTGAGCACTGACAGGAGTGATTCGTGAGTGCAGCCAGAAGTAACCCCTGAGCAACTCTGGGTGTGGCCCAAACACCACCCCCCCAAAAAAAAAACTTGGGGTGGAGCTGGTACAGAAGCACAGTTGACCCGGATTTGATCCCCAGTTCCCTCCACCCGCACCCCAAGCCTGCCAGCAGTGAACCCTGAGTGCAGACCCAAGAGCAAGAGCAAACTCTGAACAAGCCCTGGGTGTGACCCCAACACCAAAAAATAAAAATCAAACAACTTTAGGGGCTTTTAAGCAGTTGCCCTAGGTTCAATCCCTGGCACCCCATATGGTCTCCTGAGCATGGTCAGGAGTGACCCTTCACAGCAGAGCCAGGAGTAAGCTTGGAGTACATTGGGTGTCACTCCTCAAAACAAAACACCTGATTTTAGGGCTGGGCTATAGCTCAGGTTGCTTAGCATGCAAGACCCTGAGTTTAATCACCAGTACTGCATGCCCCCGCCTCATAAGCAGTGCTGTGGTGGCCCCTATTAAAAACTAATTTCTGAACCAGAGAGTACAGTAGTTTAGCTATTTGCCTTGCATGCGGTCAACCCCTCCTGACGCGGCATGTGGTTCTGAGGTTTGCACTCCTTTAGCTGCAGAACTTGCACTTACTGGCTGGGAGTTGTACTGTTTAGCTGAGGCTCACATGGTACAGTAATATTCACCACAGAGGTCACATGTACTAGCCAAGGGTTGCACTTCCGGGCTATGACCACTTGGACATGTTTTTAGCTGCAGGGCTTGCTGGGGGCTACACCCCTTTTGAGTTGCTCACAAAAACAGTCGTCAGAAATCACTTGTAATGCTGGGATGACAGACAGCAGAACTGCCAGGAGTGTTGGGCACACCAGGGATTTGACCAAGTGACTGTAGGCTGGTAATAGGGTGCTCTCAGCCATTGCTCTGGGCCTAGCTTATTCTTCTTCTAGAAGTTATATTTAGCTCTATCGATAAATTTAGGAAAAAGAAAAATAAAAAAAAAACCCAAAACTTAAAACCCCCTCTTGCCTCCTAGTAATTTTCTGCATAGATACACACACATTTTCATAAACTTAGAATCAACCCTTTTTTGTTTTGATTTTGATTTTTGGGTCACACCTGGAGATGTTCAGGGGTTAGTCCTGGCTCTGAACTCAGAAATCACTCCTGGCAGTGTTCAGGGAACCATATGGGATGCCAGTGATCGAAATGGGGTTGGCCACATGCAAGGCAAGCACCCTCCCCACTGTACTAATGCTGCTCTGGACCCTCAATCACATTTTTTCAGAATCTTACATAATTGTGGCATATTTGTTAAAATTGAAAAACAAAGGGGACAGAGAAATAGTACAGTGGGTAGGGCTCTTGCCAGGAGCACTGTTGGGTGTGACCCCAAAAGAAAAAGAAACAAAAATAAGTTATTGTTACCTAAACTCCAGGCTGGAGTGATAGCACAGTGGGTAGGGTGTTTGCCTTGCAAGAAGCCAACATGGACGACCTGAGTTCGATTCCTCCGCCCCTCTTGCAGAGCCCAGCAAGCTACCGAGAGGATCTCGCCTGCACGGCAAAACCTGGCAAGCTACCTGTGATGTATTCAATATGCCAAACACAGTAACAAGTCTCAAAATGGAGAGGTTACTGGGCTGGCTCGAGCAAATCGATGAACAACAGGAGGGCAGTGACAGTGATACCTAAACTCCAGCCTTCAGTGTGTTTTCCCATTGATGTCCTACTCTCCTGGTATGTACTTGAGGCTTCCATACTGCACTGTCAGCACCCCTAGCCCCCACTTTGAGACTTTCCTGTTCTTGACCTTGAAAGTTTTGTTTGGGCGGGGGGACACACCTGGCAGTGCTCCTGGCTTGGGGAACCATGTGGTAAACCAGAAACTGAAACCGTGATTCAAAGCTATCAAACTAGCCTCCTCTTTGACATCATGAATATTGGTCAGGGAAGTAGAATATCCCCAAGTCAAGGTTTGTCTTTGTTTCCTGATCAGACAAATGCTACTGTGAGGAGGTGCCAGCCCTCCCCAGCCCATCAGGGCACATGGACACGCAGATGACAGGCTCAGCATCATACCGCATGCAGCATCTCTGCACATCCCCAGAGGATAACTCCAGCCCTTGGAAATGCAACACTAAGCCTGACTCACTGCAGGTCACACTGCCGGAGGCTGGGAGGCTCTAGGGGTACTTTCGACTGCAGCAACACTGGAATAGTAGTCACAGGTTTGGGGTGTGCGTCACTGATTAGAAGCCACATCAGGCTCCCCAAAACTCTACCTTTCAGCACACATGGCCGCTTTCTCCCTTCCCTTGGGACCACTGGCTGGTCTGAAGAGTCCAAATGTCCACCTTTATTTAGTTTGTTTTATTCTCTGTAAACACATGAGTGGCATCACTCGGCATTCATTTATTCTGTTCTTTTACAGTCACTTCTCCATCCGAACAACCTTCCCAGCGTGGGGGAGCTGGGACTGAGCCGGCTTCTCCTGGTTCCCAGCTGTCTTGCTCAGGACTGGGAAACTGGGTGCTGGTGGAGGGGCCTCACTCGGTCAGGACTGAGCATGAGGTGGTCTGGGGGACTTTCTGGTGAGCCAAAAGGAGGATCCCACCAGCTAAGGCTGGGTAGTGCCAGTGTGACACACCCTGAAGGGAAGTTCCATCTGACTAAGTGAGCCAAGAATCTCCAGACCACAGGTGAAGTGTTTCATTGACCCTTTAGCCTGTCCTTCACTGGGGTCACGGGCCTGGAAATGGCCCTGGGGGTGGGGGGTGGGATTTAGGTTCTAGGAACAGCCCCTGCAGTGCTGTCCTCACCCCCATGCCCAGGAGTTGGGACGTTCAAGAACCCATTCCAGGAAGTTGCCATTCATTGCCTGCTGTCCTAGAGGGTTTCCTGAAGGAGCACAGGGGCACCAGGCCCCCCAGGCCTCTGCTGCCATTGTGTTGACTCAGATGGGCAGTGCCTGGCCCACTAACTCCCTACCTTACTGCAGCAGGGTCACTGCTCTGGGAACCACCTGGGGCCCAGGGTCTCCAGGGAAAAGGAGACCTGTGCAGAGGAAGCAAGGAGCAGAGCGCCTGGCAGGGCTGCAATGGCATGGTCCTGGGCCACCCTGGATGTGGCCCTAGCACTTTCCAGGGGCCCATGGAAATGAACACTTCGGCCTTGGGCCCAGGTATAATCAACATTAAAAAAAAATACACATTCAAGATATTGAGTGAAAAATACATCAATATTAAGAAACATTTCAAAGTAACAGAATAAACAAACTGGGCCCTTGGTTATAAAGGGGCCTCAACTGGAAGTGAAAAGGGAGAGAATTCAGATCCCGACAACCCTTTGCAACAACCCCCCAACCATTTATTTACAGAGGCCCAGCCACTCTGCTGCCAGGAACCCCAGCTGAGCCCACAGCCCTTACTCAATTTGGTACTTAAAAGGGGTCATCAGACTGTAGTCTTCTTCTAAGTCCAGCACAGTCTCCACAATGTTGTGATCGTCAAAGGTCCGCTTGAGGCTACCCGGCTTCAGCTCTGAGATCTTCTGCGGACTCTCGTCCACCAGCAGTGCCCACGCCTCCTCCTTGAAGGGAGAGTCTTCACAGCGGCCACACACACGGTTCAACTCGTTTTCAAATTCAAGTTTCCCAGCCAGTTCTTCAATAGTTCGTATACTTGTATGGTCTTAAAAATAAGAACATTCACCTTATCAGCTCCAGTGGGAATTTCAGAAGACATTTTGGTATAAGTTAAAAAGGCACAAACAAGGGCCAGAGAGATAGTACAGTGGGTAGGGCACCTCCCATGCACACAGCCAACCCGATTTCAATCCCTGTACCCCATATGGTCCCCTAAACTCACCAGGAATGATCCCTGAGTGCAGAGTCAGGAATAAAGCCTGAGCACAGCCAAGTGTGGCCCAAAACCCAAATACAATTTTATCCCCCCGAAAAAAATGGCACAAAGAGTCCTCTCTCTGGGATGGCACAAAATGGGCATTTCTGCCACAGGGCACACAAGGTGACCAAAGTGTGGTGCCCTGCTTTCAAACCTCTGAACTTATCAAGCCCCTGTCTGTCTCTAAGGAAAGTAGAAGTGGAAGGGCACAGAAACACACTTGCTTGACCTGGATTTTAAGAAACTCCCTGAGACCTGCAGAAATGACAAGACAAAGTATGTAAACAACGGGCCTTTAGGCTAATAAAATGCTGCCTGAACACTGCTGGGGCCTGGCAGGAGTCTGCTCTGAGGCCAAGGAGAGTACCTCCCCTTATCAGGCCTCCTCTGCATCCCTCGGAATTTGGGGACCTTTCACAGCCGATAACTCTAGGCAGTGCCCAAGGTCATGTCTGTATCTCTTAATTAATTGCTGTCTGTCTGCTGAAGAGGAGTTATTTGAAAATGAGCAGAGTCAGGAGTAAGCCCTGAGCACTGCTGGGTGTGGCTCCAAAACAAAATTTAAAAATGAAACGGAGCTGGAGCCATAGCACAGCGGTTAGGGCATTTGCCTTCCACTCGGCCAACCCAGGTTCAATTTCCAGCATCCCATATGGTCCCCCGAGCACTGCCATGAGTAATTCCCCTGAGCACCGCCAGGAGTAATTCCTGAATGCAGTACCAGGAGTAACCCCTATGCATCAGTGGGTGTGACTCAAAAAGCAAAAATAAATAAAAATAAAAATGAAACAAATAAAAAAGAAGAGACCATGGATAGAAGAACTCAGTGAAACGAGCACATACTCCCCATGCAGGAGGCCAGGCTCCATGTCCTGGCTTCGCCTGGTCCCCAAGCACGACTCTCAAGCACTGAGCTGAGTACAGCACCCCCAGAACTTCTGAGTGTGGCCCAAATACCCCAAAAGAGAAAGAAATTAGGGGCTGTGAAGTTCATACACATATATAAACTATTGAGTTAACCGTGGCTAACTCTGGACAGTGAAGGTATAGAGGAGGTTTTGGCTTTACATTTTTTATTTATGTTTGTTTGGAGTCATACCCAGCAGTGCTCAGGGCTTACTCCTGGCTCTGCATTCAGCGATCACTCCTGGCAGTACTCGAGGACCATATGTGGTGCTGAGGTTAACCTGGGTCAGCTGCATGCAAGTCCCTTATCTCTGCACTACCTTTCTGGCTCTGAGCTCAGGGATTACTCCTAGTGGATTCAGAGTATCATCTGGGGTGTCAGGCACTGAACCCAGGTGAGTCATGTGCAAAGCAAGTTCCCTACCTGGTAAAGTAAGATTCAATGAAAAAATAAGGGGCCCAAGAGATAGTACAGAGGCCAGGGTCCTTGCCTTGTACGCAGCTGATCCAGGTTTGATCCCAGGCATTCTATATGGTCCCCTGAGCACTGCCAGGAATGACCCCAGAGTGCAGAGCCAGAAGCATACTGAGCACCACCAAGTGTGAATCAAAACAAAACTCTTTACCCCCTATCTTCCTTCCTTCCCTCCACTCTTCTCCTTTTTGCCTATGTCCATCTTTTCTTCAAGATGAATCACCAAGTCCTGGGTCACCTGGGGGTTGCCACCGGGGATTTGCTGTAATGAGTCATTTATAAAATGACCTGTAGATGTGCCACTGTACCATGCTCTCTCAGTACAAAGCTTATCAACAGCAAAACAGATCTACAGAAAATGGATGAGAAATAAGAGTAGTTTTGTCACGTAGGACCCTTGGTGACAGGGAGCGACTGAAGGGCTTGTCCTCCCAGTGACGGCTCTGTACTCACCGATCATATCAAGCAGATCCTTCGTGACTTCTTGACTAGAACTGCCGAGGGGCATATTTGAGTCAACCTTCAAATCTTTATCCATATCTTTTCTGCAGCCCCCCCACACACACAAAAGAAAAAGGTGGGTAATTAGATCTTCTTTCAAACAAATATTGGAAGGAAACTCAATTTTAGATCATACTTTTGTTTTGGGGCCATACCTGGATGGTCCTCAGGGCTCACTCCTGGCAGGGATTGAACCTAGGTTGGCCATGTGTAAGCAAGTGCGTTCCCAGCTGTACTATCACTCCTGCCCAGTTTTAGATCATCCTAACTAAAAACTACTGGTAACGAAATTGTCAATGAAGGTGTGATAAGGGAACTAATAGAAAGTGCTAGATTAGTGATGTTGACAGACTGTGTGTGAAAATACTGGCAGTGTTCAATCCGTTACATGGACTTTGCGTGCCTGCCAGGGGAATGGCAGACAGCGAGAAGGCAGCACCATTAGAGTGACTTAGAGCACATTCAAGTGTGTCCACACCACAATCATATTAAACTTCATTCTATACTCATTCCTGTCCCATAGCAAGGTGTCTGGACAAGATCTGAACCCATAACCCAGGGATAATCTGAAGAGTGATGGGTAGAAGAGGGGAACAGAAACAAAGCCACCGGAAATGGACCCAGACTTCCACTGGACCTCTCCCCAATGTGGCGAGTGACACTAGGATAAAGATCTTAGTTTCTGGGCTGCAGTGATAACAGCAGGGAGGGCACAATCCTTGCATGCGGCTGATCTGGTTCAATCCCCAGCACCACCTAACACCAAGACCCTGGGTCTTGCCAGGAGGGATTCCTGAGCACTGCCAGGTGTTCTCTTCACACACCATCCCCAGCGAAGAAAATAAAAGATCTTTGCTGTTAGGGCTGGTTAGATAATTCAGTGGCATGCAGCCGACCCGGGTCTGACCTGCCAGAACCCAGGTCCCCTGAGTACTTGGTTTCTTGATGGGGGCCAAATTCTACAAGTGTTCAGTGCTCCCAAGGGGAGCCTGGGAGTGTCAGGGACTCGGCTCTTCGCCCATTTCAGAAAGGGATTCCCTAAGCTACCCACATGAAATCACCTGAGGCTGTCTTTCCTCCAGTTCTCCCCCTCGCCCGGGGCTCTCCAAAACTGCCTCTCGGGCGTCAGAACAGAGGAGTGCATCAACACGTTTTCCTTGCTGCTCAGCGGTTTCCTTGGGGGGCACAGGGCTTGGGGCTTTGCGTGCAGCGGGGCATGGCTGGGCGCAAAGGCGGGGCTCTCGTTCTCGGGGGCGCCCGGGGCCCCCGGCGGGTGCCTCCTGCAGAGCAGCCGGTGCGCGGGCAGCGAGAAGGGGAGCGGAGCCGTGTCCGGCTCCAGCCCCGGCCCCGACCGGGGGCCCGCACACTCCGGGGGCTGACTGGCCCCTTCGAAGGCCCGGTCAATGGCCGCCGTCAGCTCCTTCCTGCATCTTCGCAGCTTCTCAGACATCGCCCCTGCAAGCGACCGCGGCTCCGTTACGTAACGCGGCGGAAAGGCGCGGGGCCGGCGAGGGGGAGAGGCGGCGCCCGGCGAGTTCGATCCGCGCCAGCACGAGCATGAGGGCGGCCGGTGCGAGCCGAGGCTGGCCGCCCCCGCCCGCCGCCCGGGGAGCCCCTAGTCCGCAGCCCCCGGCCCGCACGTCTCCGGCTCGGTGGCTCGGTCCTCACCCCGCGGCGCGGCCGCCACTCTGCCTCCGTCAACGGTCGCCGGCCCTGCGGTCACGGCGGGCGCTCGGTCCGCCGCGTGGCACCCCCACCCCCCGGCTCAGGTTAAAGGTCAGGACGCGGGCGGCTTCACCCCCGACCCCGGCAGAGGCTGGGAAAGCGAGTCCCCCACCTCCCCACACACACGCCCCATCCCCCACTCACCCCTCCCCCCCAGCATGGGAAGGAGGCGTGGCCGGAGCCGGCAGGGGAAGGGGCCCGCGAGTCCCCCAAGAGCTGGGGGCTCTCCCGCGGCCGGACACATTCCCATTCCCACGGGAAACGTGGAGACCAGAAGCGGGGGCACCGGGCGTGGCGGCTGGGCGCCCGGGCGGGAATGCAAATCCCGTGTCGCGCTCCAGGCGTCGGTCCCAGGGCTGAGGCCTGGAAGGGCACGTCTAGACTGAGGAGACCCCACCTCTAAGTAGGTTCCCTTTCATTGGAGGGGAGAGGACTGAAAATTCTGATTCAGAGGAAAGAGGGGGGCCAGAGAGATACCACGCGGCTCAGGTCCCGACCCCCCCACACACACCAGTATCGGGTACCAACAACAGGGTATTACCCCCATAGAAAACGAAGCTGTAGGGTAGAAACCTGGCTCAGTGCACAGCAAGGGAAAGGGGGACAACATGTAGTTTACTCGAGGCTTGGTTTATGCTGGCAGACTACTGGGGTGTCCAGTAGTCAGTACCAGAATGAGAAATCCAGGCAGGCAGGCAGAGCTGGGTCTTCTTGGCCGTCCTATTCTTGATTACAGTGTGTTTCTCTGTTCTTTGGAATCCATCAGACATACTAATCAATGCCCCCACTCCCAACCCCCTTCTGCAGCTCCATAGGTTTTACAGAACTTTTTCACCACCTATTTTAAAGGAAAAATAATTAACCCTTCTGAGCAAACAGGGTATTTTTTTCTTCCACTCATAAAAGGGAATTTTCTCATCTGGTTTTCAGACTGAACACTACAGTCTCCAGTGTCAAAGATGTTCTCCTGGGGATGACCCTGGTGTGTGGACAGCGGAGGCCATATCAGTTGGTGTCCATGCTGCATGCCTCATCATCCCCCACGCCCTGCTGCGAGCCGCTGGGCCTTATCCCTCCATCAGAAGATCCAGGAAAACTCGTATGTGAAGGAGTCTTATAAAATTCATCATCTCGACGCTGGTAGAACAGCACATAAGCAGCTTTTGTCTAAAACAAATAAAAAGGAGAAACGTCCATTCACAGCCGGTAGGGGAAGGGGCCCGCGAGTCCCCCAAGAGCTGGGGGCTCTCCCGCGGCCGGACACAGGTTGGGAAACTTTTTTTTATGCTTTAGAGCACCTTTTTGTTTGTTTTTTGCTTTTTTATTGAATCACTGAGATAGACCCTTACAAAGATGTTCATGATTGGATTTCAGTCATACAGTATTCCAACACCCATCCCTCCACCATTGTACATTTCCCAGCACCAGTGTCCCCAGGTTCCCTCCCACCACCCCCAACCAGGAAAATTTCTTAACAGCTTTTCTCTAAATTTTCACACCTACAGCCTGCAGGGATCTGCCACTGCTCCCCATATGTGCACCAAGCACAGAGGTCACCCTTTCCTTAGATTGGCTCCTGCTGGCCCTGTCCAGAGACAGGAGAAAGACAGGTGCTCGTGACATCCAACCGCAGGGAGGGGAGGGGAGCAGCCTGTTAGGAACAGAAGCTATCTCTCCCAACACAGCACCTAACTCCCACTGCCCTATAGGGATGGCTGGTGGGAGTGTCCCAGCTCTAATTCATAAAGGGAAGGGAAGGGATTAGGTATTAGGGCCTACTCACCACTATCTGATCCTCAGAGGCCAAGGACACGTTGCTATCATCAAAATAATACCATTTCCCATTCAGTTTGTTCTTCGCATAAGCAGTGTCTGCCAAGCCAACAACAGAAAAATACACTAGCAATCTCTCTAGAGAACTTATTTTGCTAACAACAATAAAAATAAATAAAATTAAAAAAAAGGAAAAGTCCCAAAAATGGAATAAAGCAAAGGCTCTGGAGTTAAATTTTTGTTGCTGTTGATAGAGTTTTTGGGTCACACCCAGCAGCGATACTCAGGGCTAACTCCTGGTTCTGTGGTCAGGGATCACTCCTAACAGTGCAAGGCAAGCACCCTATAGGCCGTACTATTGTTCTGGCCCCTGAAGTTAAAAATTATAAACATACACTAACAACAAAAAGACAACTCCTCTATTCCTTCTCAAAAAGGCTCTAAGGAAAAGGGAACAAAGAGGGAGAACAGAGCTATAAGGTCCCATGAATTTAAACTGTAATTTTCAGGCCAGAGCAATTCTACAGTGGGCAGGGTATTTGCCTTGCATGCAGTCAATCCAGGTTCAATTTTCTGCACTCTGTATGGTTCCCCAAGCCCACCAGGAGTAACCCCTGAGCTCAGAGCCAGGACTAAGTTCTGTGCACTGCTAGGTGTGGCCCAGAAACAAAACAAAAAATTACCCTGTAATTGTGGAAAACTAATCCTAAAAAAAAAAAGAGTATCACTCTTCAGGATAACTTTGGGCAATAATACTGAGGCAGTAGCTCCATAAAGAGAGGATATTTTAAGATTCAAACAAAACACTCTGTAACATACTAAGTAAAACTCTCCCACTTGGTCCAGGCTAATGGTTACTCTTGCCTCTTTCTGCTTCTGGAGTCTATGCAAGTAATCTTGATACCAAGGGACTCTTGGAAAGTTGCAAATGCAGAGCTAAGAGATAAGAAGTCTTATATTTATCTTCTTCTCAACTCTGAGTTTGTGGCTGAGGAACAATTCCTTACAATGGTCCACGCGTTTCCCACAGTCAGCATTTCTGGTGTTAATTTTATACTGCTTACAACAGCAATATTGGTAGCCATGCCCACTTTCCGCTCTACCCAGACTCTAAGGGACAATTGGCTTCTTTTCTCAAACTGTTCTGGGACACAGAGCAATTGTTTCCCATCATTCTGCACTATAGTAGTGCCTTTAGTATAAAGTGGTGGTGTGGAACACAGGAAGAGATGTTGGAGGTATCCAGGGCCTGTTCCTATGTTCTGTACTTGGCATAACAGCAGTGGCAATATGGCTTTCTCTCCTGAAGCTCCATCTACGGAGCCAAGATCACTGTCACCGTCATGTCCTCTCGTTGTTCATCGATTTGCTCGAGTGGGCCCAGTAACGTCTCCATTGGAGACTTTGTTGTTACTGTGTTTGACATATCAAATATATCATGGGGAGCTTGCCAGGCTCTGCCGTGCGGGCGAGATACTCTCGGTAGCTTGCCGGGCTCTCCGAGAGGGGCGGAGGAATCGAACTTGGGTCGGCCATGTTGGGTGTGTGCAAGGTGAATGCCCTACCACTGTGCTATCGCTCCAGCCCTCAGAGCCAAGATGGGCCCTTACAAAAACAGACTGGTATGATGGGTGAGAAAACTGAAGTATCAGAGGCTAAAGAACTTGTTGATATGTTTAGATGCTAAATAGTGGGTAAAAATACATACATGTGACCAGTACTCATGAACATATATCAAAATTAACTTAATTAACTTTTTGATTACAAAAAGTGTTGTAGGATATGATGTGATAAGACTGCCACTTCACTAAAGCTTCAATTTTGAATCACAGTTTTTATTTCCCAACTTTTTCTACAGCTAGAAGTAACCATATGATAAAGCTACAACCAATAAGGAAATTGAGGGGAACTGTAAGCAGTCTGAAAGGGAAACTTATCCCATTTTCATCTTCTTGTGATAACTGACTGCAGAGAAGGCAGGACTGAGCAGCCTTCCACAGAGGCAGGATACAGGATGGGAGAGCAGGCTACTGGCCCACAGAAAAAAATTCATCAAAACGGCGAAGACTGGGGCCAAGAGCAGTCTCCTGTAAGTGTAGGGTATCTACTAGACCATCATCTCTTGGTAACACGGGGTGCAGTGACAGTGCAGACATAATAGAGAGCCATTCACCTTGCCACCACAAACACTTTCCCACCAACAGGTTACCAAAAGGTACTAGACCTTCTCATTATAAAAATAAAGCTGCCCCTAACAAGTGAGTGAAATAGAGCAAAACATTTAAAAAACTAAAATAATATTTTGGCATCTCCTTTCAAGTTCCTGATCCTTGAACATTTATTCCCTTTCTTTGTGTCTGTTTTGGGGGTTACACTGACTCTGTACCCAGGGGAACCATGTGGTGCTGGGGGCTGAAGCAGAATCTCTTGCAGTCAAAGGATGTGCTGCCACTGTTGTGATGTCACCTGTGTAACAAGACAGCCATGCAGCATTTCCATGGGCTCTATCAAGAACATACTACTCATTTTCCTTTGTAATAGCTCTGTACTCATCCACCAAGGAGATATCATTGCTGTGACTAATTTCTCAGGGTTATGAACAAGAGAATATATCCTAACCCAAACAAATTTGCTTTAGAATCCCAGAGGTGGGCTTATTGGAGAAAGAATATCAAAATCAAAATTAAATAGGAATGGAGGGACAGCAACAGAGAAAAAGGCCCGTGAAGCCATCCCCAGCGCCTGGCAGCAGCACAGCACTCACACCTTTGCATGAACTGCTGGCCTGGCTGGTCAAGAAATGCTGGTGGGGCCCTCGCCCTGGACCCCTGAGCAGCTTAGGAGGACCCCACCCCACTCGAAAAAGAGGAGTACAGGCACCAATACTTACAGTGGCCAACCCCCATGGCTCCATAATGATTGGACACGGCGATGAGGTCATACACATATGGTCTTGCTGACAGGTCACAGACAAACTCGGACATGTTCAGACCTCTAAGCACAAAACACAAAAATCTGTTAACACTCAGAGAAAGCAGTCAGAGAAGTCAGGAACCCATTGATGGAACATGCTGAACAGGGAAGGAATGAAAACATGGAGAGGGAATGAAGAGACCATGATGGGGGGGGTGAGACGAGGAAAGAGAAGCCACCAACTGCAGATCAAATGGTGAGAAAGGCCCCGGGGAGCAGACGAGGTCTGCATTAACTACAGAGAAACCAAATACCACACTGCCACGGGAGCAAGCTAAATTCTAAGACAGGTTCCAGAATGCTTCTTGCTTTTTACAAAACTTTTCAACAGGGGCGACAACCAGGGCACGAGACCTCCCACCCATTCGCAACCAACAGAGCAGGCCTGGGCTGGCACCTCAGTGCTTGTGGCCCTCAGGGCCATCCCAGCATTGCTCAGAGACACAAAGGGCGAGTCATCGGGTGCCAGTGATCAGACTCAGGGCCTCCCACCTGCCAGGCATATGCCCCCTTTGCCCTTTAGACCACTGTTTCAAAATTTTCAAGCTTCAGAAAAATAGAAGAGGGGCTAGTGCAATAGTACAGCGGGTAGGGCGTTTGCCTTGCACGCAGCCGACCCAGGTTCGAGTCCCAGCATCCCATACAGTCCTCCGAGCACTGCCTGGAGCAATTCCTGAGTACAAAACCAGGAGTAACCCCTGTATATTGGGGGTGTGACACCAAAAAAAAAAAAAAAGAAAAAAAAAAGAATTTACTCTAAATGCCCCTGCTACCTCCTCCACTGATAGGCATCTTTTCACCCACCCAACCTCTCCCAGGAAGCTGTTCAGAATCCACATTAGGTGGAGAGCCCTAATCTGTGGATTTTCTGAGTGTGAGCGACACTTGGAACCTGGAACCTGTACAAATAGCCAGTTCCAGTCCCACCTGAGGAATAAGACCCGGGCACACGTGGACCTCAAAGATGCCTTGCCCCAGGCAGTGAGGGCAGCTCTATTCCCGTTCCACTCCAGTTAGCTCCAGCTCCCTGAAGCTAACAACAGAAATACCAGTTCATTAGATGGCGCAGGGGAAGTGAAGGTGGAAATGCTTCTATTAGAGAATCTTTCCCCCAGATGCAGAGAATGAGGAGGTGAAATGAGCCACGGCCCAGCCTTCCAGAGCCCAGCAACACACATATTGATACAGAACAGTTTGGTGGATGAATCTTATGCCAGTCAGTGCCGAGATATTCAGCCTGTTTTTTGATCTTCCAAATAAAACTGAAAAGGCCGCACCTGACTGGGAACTCCACAACAGTGTCAAGTTTATCTCTCCAGTATCTGTTGTAGGAGAAACGTTTGAGGTGGACAACCAGTATCTTGGGCAAGGACCACAGGTCAAACTTCTTTGTGGCCTGCTGATGCTTCTTACAGTTGGGACAGTACCTGCAAAGAGAAAGTCTCACTTAGTGGGGAAGCATGAGCCCAGACAACCTGAGACAGGTTAACAACTCCACTGTGGCCTTGAGACAACACTGCTGGCAGAGGGAGGTCTCAGAGCCACTTCCAAAGCAGGACAGTGACTGTCCTAGCCTGGAAGAAACAATTCACACAGAAACACCTGTGCTGTAGGGCTGGGAAGTAAAGAAAATGCCCCACCCAAGTGTGCACAGAGGATCCCGGCAGATCCGGGAGTCTGGGGATGGGGGACTGTGCCGAGTGGGAACTGTCTACCAGGGGTCATGTTCTCCAAGGGTCTCCATCGTGGTGAAAAGCTCGATGCAATCTCTGAGAGCCACGGCCGTCTTCTTCTTCTTCTGAGGCTGCAACATGCTCACGTGCTTCTCATAGGCCTGCGAGGCACAAAGGAACAAAATTGTGCTGGGGAAGCAAGATCTCACCAACTCTCACACCTGGAACACAATGGGTTTTCTGGAGCATCTCAACAGAAAACCACAAAGCCTTCAACAATTTTTTATTCTTTTGTTTAGGGTATTAGGGGGATGGCGCAACCCAGCAGTGCTCAGGGCTTACTCCTTCCTGGCTCTGTGCACTCCTGGAGGGCTCTGGGAACCATATGGAATGCCAAGGATTGAACATGGGTCACCTGTGTGCAAGGCAAGCGCCCTACCCACTATACTATCTCTCCAATCTCAGTGTTTCTTTTATTCTTAACTTAAAAATGTTTAGCAAGCTTGACCCTCCAATAGCCAAAGCAGAAGTGTGCTCGCTCGCTACAATAACCAAGAATCTCAAATGTGGTGCTGGGGAATAGTACAGAGGGTAGGGCACTGGCCTTGCATGGAGACAGACCTAGATTCAAACCCCAGCATCCCATATGGTTCCCTAAGGATTTCCAGGAGTGACCCCTGAGCACCACCAGGTGTGGTCCCAAAACAAACACTTTCAGGTGACCTACCTCAGACTCTTGCTCATCATAGTAAAGGCTTCGTGTCTCACTGTCCCAATCGATGGCCAGTGTGGATCGTGCTGTGGAGAAGGGCAAGTATCACTCATTACTTAGTGGCAACAAAAGAGGTGACAAGAAAAGGAGCACAGTCAGACACCCCTGACACCTGTGTCCCCATGCCCAGGCAGTGCCAAGAAGAATGTTGAGCCCCAGCCCTCCCTGGCAAGGATTTTATCCACAGGAGGGCAATACTGACCATACAACCACTGAAAGTGCATGCAGAGGTCAAGGACAAAATTTGCTCCTGGCCTTAAAACACAAGAAGACCTGACAAACGACATGAAACAAAGTGATGCCTCTACTGTCCCTGTTGCCTGGAAGGCATTTTCTAAGTCACAGCCTGGGAGAGGCTAAGAGAGAAGGGAGGTGCCTGGTGTGGAACTGGTACTGGGAAGATGCCTGCGAATGCTCGGCACTGATGCTGCACTAGAGAAAGAAGCTGCACTGCAGGCAGAGCTGCAGGGAATCAGGTGGAGATATTGTTAAATCTCAATGAAGTTATCTATATACAAATTTTAGGGACAGGGATGCAATGGTGTTCAGTGGGAGAAATACATGTCTCACATGTGGGACGCTCTACAACAATACAAACAATACAAAACAAAAAAAAACCCTCCGGGGCTGGAGTACAGCAGTTAGGGCACGTGTCCTGCACAGGTCTGAAGCAGGTTCAATCCCTAGTATCCCATGTCGACCACCACAAGCTCAGTCAAAAGTGAGCACTGAACACAGAGCAAGGAGCAAGCCCTGAGCAGAGCTGGGTGTTGCCCAAAAATTAATTTAAAAAATGAAGAGGTGTAGAGCAGTAACAACAAGCTAGCTCTAGGGCCAGAGAAATGGATCAAACACCTGAAGTGCATGCTTTCCAAGTGTGGTTCCTGAATTAGATCCCCGGCACCCCACAGGGCCCCCACTACTTCTAGGTGTGGTATCAAAACAAACTACAGGGGCTGGAGAAATAATATGGCAGGGTGCTTGCCTTACATGTGGCCAACCGAGGTTAGATCCGTTACCCCATATGGTCCCCTTAGCCCACCAGGAGTGATGCCAGAGTGCAGAGTCAGAGTAAGTTCTGAGCACTACTGGGTGTAGCCCAAAAAACATAACAAAAAACAAAAAGGCTAACCAGGCACCAGAAAGACAGTACAGGGGTACTGATTCCAGTTTATTTATACTTTAGCTTTTGGGCCAAACCTGGTGATGCACTCAAGAATCACACATGGTGACACTCGGGGCGGAAGGGGGGTTGGAGGGGTAGAGGGGAGGTTTGGGGGGCTATATGGGATGCCAGGGATCGAACTCAGGTCAGTCTCATGCAAGGCAAGTACCTGACATACTGCGCTATCTCTCCTGCCCAGCTGACCCCAGTTTACCCTATGGTCCCCTAAGCACAGTCAGGAGTGATCTCTGTGCAAAGCCCAAAAATAAAAACAAAAGAAACTGAAGTAGATCAAAGAAATTTAGCAGATATTCTTTTTTTAAATTTTTTCTCTTTTTGGGTCACACCCAGTGATGCTCCGAGGTTACTCCTGGCTCCGCACTCAGGAATTACTCCTGGTGATGCTCGGGGAGACCATATGGGATGCCGGGGATCAAACCTGGGTCAGCCGTGGGCAAGGCAAATGCCCTACCCACTGCACTATCGCTCTGGCCCTTTAGCAGATATTCTTCTCCAGTAAAGGAAGGATTCAGCTACAAGACACAAGGGGTATTTATTTCTCCCAGCCTGTGCCATCGCCATCACTATCCACTCCTGCTCCTGATTCATGGCACCCTGTGGTGCTCCCCATCTCGCCTGCACAGCAAATTCTCAGTATATGGAACCATGAGATAAGCAGCCAACAAAATTCACAACTAAGAGGCGCATTTCTTATTTTATTCTGGACCATACCTGGCTGTGCATAAGGGAAGAGAGTGGGTGCTGGGGATCAAATCCAAGTCAGCAGCACTCAAGGCACTCTCCAGCCCCACCCAAGTGCGTCTGCACAGAAATGCATTTACTTCCATTAGGCAAACAAGTTAGGGCAATGCTGCCTTAGGAGCAGGGCCACAGGACTGTCCTTAACTTTGAACAAGGGTGCTGAAGGGAGTTGATGGGGATGGAGGGCCTGCTTTCCTCGGAGGTCATCAAGGACAGAGGAGAAAACCTGGATGCAAGGGTTGTGGGGTAGATGGGGGTGGGGGGGAATTAGGTCTCAGAATCCTTAAGGAACTTGAAGCCAAGGATCACATACACTTTGTTTCTGGAGCGGCACAGAGATGACCAACTCTAAGGAAGTGGTTATTACAGGCAAGGATTGCAAAAGAGGATCAGATCCCTAACAACCAGAGGGAAGGGCCAGGGAAAGTGCTTACAGTTGAGTTTAAGTAGTTTTCCATCTGTAGCCAGAGAATTGATGTCAGCTGTTCCATAGGAGTTCACAAGGCTGAAGGTAAAAAGCCTCCTGGGACAGCGCTGGTCTCGGACCTTCTGCGTAGTCTCACCCTGGTCATTTCCCAGCTCCTCCTCGCCACTGCCTTCTGTCTCAGATAGCTGCTCTTTACCTTCTTCCTGATGCTCCATTTCTTCTTCATCTTCTCCTGGCACACAGGTTAAGAATAACATGTATGTGATTTGCCATGATCTCCATGTTAAAACCTGCACTTCAGGGGCCGGAGAAAGTACAGTGGTAGGAAACGTATCGTGCACACGGCTGACCCAGCTTCAATTCTGAGCGATTCCATACGGTTCCCGGAGCACTGCCTGAGCAGAGAATGATGTGCCCGACACATACCCCCTTGCCCCCAATAAGAGAAACAAAAACTCTTGAAAGTCTTTTCTTTTTGTTTTTTGTTTTGGGGCCACAACTAACAGTGCTCAGGGCTTACTTTTGGTCTGAGCTCAGGGATCACTCCAGGGGGCTCTAGGGACTACATGTGGGTAGTTCCACACGTGCATACATTCAGTCATATGGAAAATCAGTGAGTGCTTTACCCCTGTACTATCTCTTCAGCCCCAAAAACTCATTTCTAAATATAATGAGATGTATTAATGTCAACTTTCTGAAGGAGAAAAGGCTGCCTGTCCCTCTAGCAAGCTATCATCAAAGGCACAGGTGCCACACTGCATCCACACCAGTGTCCTCCCAGAGATCATAGGGAGGCAGTCTAGAAACATGGTGGGACCAAGAAGAAAACATAAGGATTAGGTTGGACAAGTGCCCAAGCCAGCCACATGGCATCACATGGCATTAGAAGCACCACCACGTGCGGCCTAGAAGCCTCACACAGCAGCACTATATCCAGCCGTGGCAATGACCCGCCAACAAGCCGGCAGAGTAGTCCCAGGAGTAACCCTCAGGTCCCCCGAGAACCATATGAGAGGCCCTATTTGGGGTCCCCACCCCTCCATACTGACACTGTCAAAAGACAAAGTTCCCAAGTGTTTCTAGAAACCTGGTTTCTGTGGCCATTACAAAAATATCCACCAAGGGGTCTGGAGAGATGGGACTGAGGGTAAAGCATTTACACACCCCAAAACAAAACATACAAAAAAAAAGGGGTCACAGACATAACACAGTTAAAGAGACAACTACCAGGTAGGGGAGACTAGTGGGGGAACATCATCAACGAGTAAGACGAGGGCTCTGGGCTTCCTGCAACAACCTATCTTACTGCCTTGTTTGTCTGGGGAAGGAGGGCCACTCAGTAGTGCTCAGAGATCACTTCTGATGGTGCTCGGGGAGACCATGTGGGATGCTGGAGATGGAACTCGGGTCAGCTGTCTGCAAGGCAAGCTCCCTCTCTACTGTACTATCGCTCCTCTCCTTCCTTTTTTTTTTTCAATTGGGTTTTTGAACCATACCAGGAGGGGGACCATGAACAATTCCTGGAGTACTGCTCGGGGGCTGTCCCAGACCTTGCAGTGCTGGGATCTAACACAGGTCACTCATATGCCAGCATGCCCACTACCTCTCTGAGTCATCTCCCCAGCTCTCTGAAGGCTTCTGTTTTTGTTTGGGGGCCACAACCAGAAGCACTCAAGAGCATCTTCCTGGATCTCCGTGCTTAAATAACGATATGTCTAGTCAGGATAGGATCAAATCGAGGTGGTCACGTACAAAGCATATACCTTACTCCCTATACTCTCTCCAGTCCCTTCTTACTGCTTTTTGGACTGACTCTTTTCTCTCCCACAGCAGGAGCTGGCGAGAGGGAGCACTCACATATTTCCTGGGTATACAGACATGAAGTCCCCAGAGTCCTTCTGCACTCTGCCTGGCTGACAACTGTGATAGGTTAAGGGCCAAGCTAACAGCTGAGCCAACAGAGGCCTGACCATGAAGGAAACTCTGAATCAGCAGCCACAGTGCAATGTCAGCAGATCACAATCAAGTTGTGACTCTACCTCCCGACCCTGGGCAAGTTCTATACTGCGAGTCTGTCTGTCTGAGGTAGAACTCAGCCTACACATCCAAGGATGTTCTAGGAGAAACCAAAGGAGGATCGGAGGGAAAGCTGGGCAACAGGAACTGCTGGAATGGTGCCATCAGAGCTCCCAGGTCTACTCTCTGGGCAGAGCCCCCACCCAGACTCAGAGTCCCCCCTCCCACCTGTACACCACCTTTGGAAGAAGAGGGAGGTCAGGAGGGATTTGGTCACTCACAGCCCACAGCGTGGCGTGCGCTCACCTTCACAGCTGCCCCTGGAGCCATTGCAGGATCCGGGCTCCAAGGGCGAGCTGCCAGACTCATCAGGCAAAGGCTGTTTTATATAGCGGCTTGAAAACAAGGGGGGGAAAAAGTTAGTTGTAACACTGACCCTACTCAGAGGGAGAAACATTCCATAAGATCACATGACCAGATTCACAAAGCAACTTTATACCTCAAAGTGTTTTAAAATCATATGATGACTCAATATTTCAAGAAACTGAAAGAGGCTGAAGAGACAGTACAAGAGGTAAAAGGCATGTGGCCAAACCCAGTTCAATTTCAGGTAACACATACTTGGAGACCCTCCTTGGCAGAGCCAGGAAAAGCTCCTTGAGCATGTGTTCCAGAAACCTCCCCGATAAAGAAAAGAAACTGAAAGTTCAGAATATAAAAGACATCTATCAAGCTACTGAAGATTCTTAAAAATCTAGCATGTGGCACCAAAAAAAAAAAAAAATTCCCCCAGGTAGCTCAACCGGTCTGAGCACGTACTTTGCATGCAGGCGGCCAAGGTTCAATCCCCAACACCATTTAACATCACTGGTGCACCACCGGGCTTACCGAAGTTGTAAGCCAGAGAAGTAGCCCCTAAACACCACTGGGTGTGAGCCAATCAACAAAACCACAAAGCACTAGACTATCTAAAGCAGACTATTTATCAGCAGATGTGACAGATGTGATATGGAAGGAAAGGGTGAACTGTCACAGTGCTTACCAGATGAGACCTGTCCCATCCTAACAGTACTGGTTGTGGTCCTCCCAGGGGCTGAAGTGTGTTTATAATTACATGGCTATTTGTTCTTTTTTTTTTTGGAGGGGAGGGTTTGGGAGGGAAGCACACCTGGAGGTCTCAGAAGTAAAGTATGCATGAATAAAGTATTTTAGTCATAAGTAAAGTATGCCAGTGCCCTTCAAATCAGCCCACAACAACTGCATTTCTAGAGAAACTAGGGATTTAACAGAGACCCCTAGTTTACAGACTAGTGATGAACAGGGGGACTCAGCATAAGTCATTACTTTTTCTGAGTCTGTCTGTTTTGGGGTTGGTCCTTTTTCCTTTGCTGCAAAAGGGGATACCAGACTATTTGGCTCAGCTGTACAGGACCCCGGTTTGCAATACCAGGTACCACCAAAATGAACGTGGTGGAAAAAAAAATGGAGAAATTCCAGGTCAGATTAGAAGCAGGACTTAGCTCAGTGGTAGAGCATTTGCCTTGCACATTTGAGGCCCTGAGTTCAATCCTCAGAACCCTTGTCAGGGTGGAGAGGGAGATGGAGCTCCCACAATAAGTCTTGGGTGGCCCTGATGAAGATTCGGTGTGTGAGTCACATGCTCGGGGCCACCTGCAGAGGGACTGGGGGTAATGGAAGGCGATTCCCTAGCAGTGCCAGGGATCAACTCGGGCCTCACTCATAGCGGGTCACCACTTTGAGTCAAATCTTTGGTCCCCGGTCTTGATTTTTGTAATAAGCAAATCACATTCCTGGGACTGACCTGATACGCTCACAGACAGCCTGGTACAAAGAATCGAGGGTTAGCTTGTGCTTGGGGACAGAAACCAGCAGGGGCTGTCCATAAAGCACTGCTCCCGAGGATGTGCTCTGAGGCCTGGACTTCCTCTCCCTGAAGTAGACCGGAAGTGTGACATACTCTGTACCATCAGTGGAGGTGCTGCAGACTTCGTACCTGTGTCAATCACAAAAGAGCAAACTCAGCAGCAGGCCTTAGCAAGCAAGAAGAGGAGCTCCAGGTGTGCCCCCTAAACAAACAAACAAAAAACTACCAGAGCTCTTGCCTAGAACACACCAACACTGCGGGGCCTTTATCATGTTTCCTTTGACCCTGCCGCAGAAGCTGCTATATACTCACACAAAGATGTCATCCCGAGGCATGATGTGGTTCAAACCTTCATCCATTTGGAAAATTTTGTGGAATCGATGGTTATACACATCAGTGACCACCATCTAAGAATTAACCATAATGGAGATTTTAGGCTGGATAAGCATGTCTCCTACTGAAAACCCAGGAGCAAACGAGAAACACGGCACTGCTGAGTGCCACCTCCGAAGAGACCACCCCGTGGAGCTCAGAGACCAAGGGGGAGCAGCATGGCCGCCACAGGCCAAGAACAAGCTGATAGTGTGCCTGAACTTCATGAGATTTGTCCTTGAGTGACAGGAATGTAGGAAGTGAGGCAGGACCAGGAATGGTGGCCATCCAGAGTCTCTGCAGTACCTTACAGACTATCCTTCGTATGTAACAGAACGGACCAAAACCATGACCACCTAAAACCAGCCAGGAGTCAATGGAGAGTAGAGACCAGCAAGAGCACTGACCAGGGGAGAGGTCAGAAAGGACTCAGTATATACAGGCCCTGATGTCCACAGAGATCCAGACTCAGCAGGAAGCTCAGCATGGGCAATTGCTCGAAAATAGATTTCTGTCATATTCTCTCTTGGGCTTTAGGGCAGGAAGAAACTCTCAGCTTCTCATGCAACCGGAGAGGCGGTGTGGGCAACGGCAAGAGCAGAGATCAGACCCCGAATGCTTATTCCTGGCACTCTGATCAAGGCTAATGAGACCTCAGCAGAGAAAACACAGTATTTTCTGGGGCTGAGAGGAACAGTCTTAGTCACAATGTGCTCAGTGAACATCAGGAGGCCTGCAGCAAAGCCAGCCAGGGTCAAATTTAAGAACCACCAAAGGGGGCTGGAGGCATATCAGGTAGGGCATTTGTCATGCATGTGGCTGAGCCAGGTTTGATCCCAGCAACATATGGAGTCCCCTGAGTCCTGCCAGAAGTGATCCCTGAGCAGCCTTGTGGACAGCAGGTTTGAGCCGGGGGTGGGAGTGGCAGGGATCTCATGGGAAGGGGGGGCGTAATGGGCTGTCCTTCACGCCCGACCGAGGTCACCAGCTGCCCCCCACGAGCGGCTCTCCGGCACGGCCACAACTCCAGAGCACAGAAACCAATCTCTTAACTATCTAACTTTTAATAGAAATACTTCCAGGGTTAATAAGTAAAATAGCAGAAATCCAAAATCGCGTAGCCGCTATTGCGGCCGCGCGACATCATTTTATTCTTAAACCCAGCTGTAGAAAGCAAATCATTTCACAACACTGTTTCAGCATGTCTGATTGGGGGGAGAGGGGTCGTAAACTCTAAACAATAATGGTGCATCTTCTATCGAAACAATGTATCTAGTCAAAGTAGATAAGAGTGTTAACTAGAACTCATCTGCCTCACAGGAATTGGGAGGGGTGGGAGGTGGGGTTCTATTGGGGTTTGCGGTTAAAAATAAGTATTGGTAAAGGGAAATGTGTTTGATATTTACATGACTGAGACCTAAACCCGAAAGCTCTGTAACTTTTCCCACAGTGATTCAATAAAGAAATAAATTATAAAAAAAAAAAAAAAAGAAGTGATCCCTGAGCACAGAGTCAGGAGTAAGCCCTGAGCACAGCCGGGCTTGGTAAAAAAATAATAATAATAATAATAATCAATTAAAGAACGACCACCAGGAGTCAGAGACAGGGGTAATGGAGTTTGCCTTGTATCATTCAGATTCCAGTTCAAACCCCTGGCACCACATATGGTCCTATAAGCACTACCAGGAGTTACTCCCGAGGACAGAGTCAGGACAGACCAAGCATGGCCGGCCATCACACAGTTGTCGCTCCCACCAACCCCCCACCCTGCCCAAAAAAAAAAACCTTTGAAAATTAACTTCAAAGGACTATGAAGCTTATCCCATAGGTAAGTGCCACTAACCACTAGCTTACATTTTCTGCAGCGATGCCAGACAGCCTGGAGAGCGCCTCGCAGAGATCAGACACGGCCCCCATCAGTGGCACGATCACGCGGTACTGTAAAGGAAAAATTGGCAGAGTGACCAGTATGTTCTGCAAAGGGTACGGGATGAGCTGGAGGAAGCATGGGAGGCAGAGGTGACCTTCTGGAAACAGGATCTGGTGAGGTCAGAGTCCAGCCAAGTCACCAGTCCACCAGCATGTCTTCTGCAGGAGCACATGCCTGTCTGCTCTGCCTTGGCCATCTCTTGCCCTCCAAAAGACCACTTTATTTTATGCTTAAATATTTGAGATCCTATCATGTTAAGCGAAATGAGGGATAGACATAGAAAGATTGCATTCATTTGGGGAACATAAAGTAACAAAATAGGAAGACTAACACCCAAGAGTGGCCAAGATTAGTACCAGAAGTTTTGCTCCATGGGTTGGAGGCCAGCCATACATGCTAGGGGAAAAGGGAGCTCAGATAGAGAAGGGAGCACCAAAAAAAGGGTGTTGGGAGGATCCTCCCAGGATGGGAGAAACATGCTGAAAGTAGACTATAGACCAAACATGATTGCCACTCGATGCCTCTTTTGCAAACCACAACACCCAAAAGGAGAGAGAGAACAAAAGGGAATGCCCGGCCACAGAAGCAGGGTGGGATGGGGGATGAGAGGGATATTGGGACCTGTGGTGGTGGAAAATGGGCACTGGTGGAGGGATGGGTATTTGATCATTGTATAATTAAAATCCAAGCACAAAAATTTGTAAGTCTACAACTGTACCTCATGGTGTTTCACTAATAGGAATTAAAAAAAAAAAAATTTGAGATCCTTCACAGATTCCTTTAATGAAATGTTGAAATTATACAAACTGCAGACCAGCTCACATGTGCTCCTCCTTCAGGGAGGAGGAAAGTAAGGCGAGCCCGTCTCACACAGATGAGAGTCCTGGAGTTGATGCCCAGCACAGGAAATATTCCGGAAAGAAAAAACTAGAGAGAAAGCTACTCGGTACTGCCATACTACGAGCACTGGCAGGACTGGATACAACGAGCTCTCACTGCTCTCCTCTGGCCTTTTGCTCTTAGCAGGCTCTCGCTGCTGTGGCAGAAAACCCGATCAAAGCACCCTACTCTGGTTTCCCAACACTCTAACTCAAGGACCCTTAGCCAAGCAGGTCACCTTAGTCCCAGGAACAGAGCAAGAGAACACACACATCCCGGGTGATTTGAGACTGCACAAAGGTACCTGGAAGGCGACGAGCTAAGACTGGCAAGTCAAGCACTGAGTGCAGGGCCGAATGCAGGGCTTCCAATGACGCCAAATGGAACCATCCCTCCCAACAGAATGTCTGGGTGCAAGGGTGCCAGAAGGGCGCGGTGTCTCTCACCTGAGTAGGTCGGCAGCGAGGGTCAGCAGGAACCAGGAAGACCTCCATAACTCGATCTTTCTTCAAGGGCAGTGGGAGAGTGAGATAGCAAAATGGGTCAAAGGTCACCGAAACCTTTGCACACTCTGGGCAAACCAAAGTAGACTTGAAGAGGCCATGGAATGTATCCACAATCACAGAATCATTCCTCAACCTGTGGTTCTCCCAGGCTTCCTTTGCTACCACCTGAAAGACGGGATGAATAACATATTGTCAATACCCTTCTTTAGCTGCATCCATCTGCGGCACAATCAGAGCTGGATAGTGTGAGGTGGTCTGCAGAGCCTGACTTCTCTCGGTTTCACACACCCAAACCACCCATCAGCTTTATGCTCATTCCACACCTAACAGTGCTGACACAGGACCAGGGACAGCAAGGTACCTGTGTATCCTCCATGAGGCAGGTGCCTTATGTACTGTGGGCACAGACAACTGACCAGGGCAAGGAGTGCCTTCTGTGGGACTTTCAACGTGCCCACATCCCTTCGAAGTTTTCACTCTGCATAGAGGTCAGTTTACTCATGCTTCCTTTAACATCTAAATGCTACTTTAGTCATTGTGAATATCCAATGACAGGGTAACAAATACTAAATTCCCATTTAATATATCACAAAGTGTGAAGTTCCCTAATAACATTAATAACTATTTAAACAATAATCACACAGCTTAATCACACAGGTGGTGTTTTGTAGTTATTTACAGAGAGAGTAACAATTTCAAGGGCCCACACTTTAAACACTTGATTTTCAGAATGGCCTCATCTCTAGCTTCCCAATGAAATTTATACAAACAAAAGGTCTCTAAGTTAAAAGATAACCAAGAACAAGCATTAAGAGTAGTTTGAGAGGTGGAGTTCATGCCCAATTCAATCAGCTAATCAGTGGCGGAATAAATAGCAGTACTCCTACATTAAAAAAAAAAAAAAGAGTAGTTTGACTTAGCCCTGTTTGGGCTAGAATGATTTCTCTGCTACAGCCTATGTCTGCATCAGCACAAGGCAATCAAGGCCCTGGCACCAACAATGCACCAAAACCAGAACAGTGCCCGTGACTCGCAACAGGGAACAGCTTCCCTGGAATATTACTGCTCCAAATTCTCCCATGTAGTACCGCATCTGGCCGCCCATTGGCATCCTTCAGCTCCAGGTAGGGCTTCTTCTTCACTCGGTTCAGATCTTCATGCAATCCATCCAGAAGAAAGGCTAACAGCTCCTGAGAGTCTTGTTGCTGGTAGCCAGAAAACTGGGGGGCAAAACGTCCCACTTGTGTCTACAATTAAAAGCAATGACATAAGATAGATACAGTGACACAAGATAGGAAACTGTCATAAAAAAAAAAATAGCCCTGCAAAATCAGCAGGCACAGCCTAATTAATTCAAAGGCCTAAAGGAGGCTGGCAGGGGTGCTGGAACGACAGAACAGCAGGTAGGGCACTTGCCTTGCAGGCGACCAACTCAGATTTGACCCGACATCACATATGGCCCCCCAAGCCCAACAGGAGATCCCTGAGAACTGCCAGGTGTGGCAAAAGAAAAAAAGTAAATATAAAGGAGACTGGCAGTTCTCATCACAAAAAGCTGAGAAGAGAAAGCTAGAAAAATGACAGGTCTGAACTCTGGGCCCCTATCCTACAAGAGGAGTGAAAAGCGACACACTAAATAGCCATACCTCCTACGTACTGATATGAATACCTCTCCAATCTCCTTCCTCACTCAGAATCTAAATAAAAAACTTTACAAGTAGGGGACCAGAAAGATAGCACAAGGGTTAAGGCACTTGCCTTGAATGCAGCCGACCCTGGTTCGATTCCCGGAACCACATATGATCCCCCAAACACCACCAGGAGTGACCTGAGCACAGAGCCAGGAGTAAGCCCTGAACACAGCCAAATATGGCCCAAAACACCTCCCTTCCACCTCCACACCCAAAAAGAATTTTACAAATGCATCAGTCGCAGTAATCCTGCTAGTACAGAGAAATTCTCTCTGTAAATAACTACACCAGTGACAGCAGATCCTTAACTAGTGAAATCAACATCACCTAGGAATTTACTGGAAATGCAGATTCCAGGCTGGAGTAATAGTACAGCAGGTAGGGTGTTTGCCTTGAACCTGGGCAACACAGGTTTGATCCCCAGCATCCCATATGGTCCCCTGAGCACTGCCAGGAGTGACCCAAAAAGAAAAAAAAAAAAGTAGAGTCCCAGCTACCACCCCAGAACTTAAGAAATCTGGGCCAGAGTGATAGTACAGCAAGTAGGGTGCTTGCCTTCTACACAGCCAACCCAGGTTTGATTCCCAGCACAACATATGATCCCCAAACACTGCCAGGAATGATCCATGAGCCCAGAGCTGGATGTGGTCAAAAGAAAAAACACAACAGAAAAACCAGAACTTCAGGAATTCTAGAAATGGGTACAGTTGTCTGCTAAAAGCCCTCTGAGAGTCTGATGCAGCCTAAGGCTGAAGCACCAGTGTACCATATATGTGCTTTCTTAAACTGGCCACTAACTATAGTAGGACACTTAATTAAAATTAAATACAAATAAAAGTTTAGCTCCTTGTTCACACTAACCATACTGGACAGAGCAAAGAAAAAATGTGTCCCGTCACTGCTGAAATTCTACGCTATGCAGCATGAAACACTACCTGGAACGATTTGATTGGTATTGGCTTGAGCACAAAATGTTGTAACCCAGCATTAGTTTGTGATGTAGTATGTGAATATTTGTGCATGTTTCCCAGGGATTAATGTGAACAAAGAGAGAAAAGTAATTATTTTTCTATTTCAATCAATGGTGGAAGATTTACATTTCCTTGCTGAAGAAACTGTTTCTTCTTCTGCAAATCAGAAACACCCATCTCAACCCAGAGTGGTAGTGCCCAGTTCAAATCCCAGCAGCCCATATGGTCCCCCAAACCCTGCCAGGAATGATTCAAGAATGCAAAGCTATGAGTCCTAAGCATCACCCTGGGTGGCACAAAAAGAAGGGAGGGAGGGCAACAAAGAAAAGAAAAAGAAAAACCCATCTTTCTCTTTTTGAGGGAAGGGAAGGGTGGAGCTCCAAGGAAGGATAATATGCTGTGTCAGGAATAGAACTGGAGTCACCTGCAAGGCAAATGCCTTAACTGCTGTACTCTTCAGCTTCAGAAAAGTTAGTCTTTCTACAATGCCTTTCATCATGAAAGCTACTTGAATCCCAGTGGCACAAACTTCACTTTCTCAGATTTCAACCCATGAGAGCAAATCATGTCCCCTTCAGCAGAAGAAATGATTTAAACTAACAGAAAGTCAGTTTGCTCTAAGTGCGTCACTTGTCACTTATCCCCTTGAGCATCAATTTGCTCGAGCAGGTGCCAGTAACGACTCCATTCATCCCTGTCGCCTGCTGGCATGGCCCAATGGCATATTGAGGGCTCTTTCAAGGTCAGGGGAATGAGGCTCATTATTGTTACTGTTTTTGACATATCGAATATACCACGGGTAGCTTGCCAGGCTCTGTTCTAAGTGTATGTAATCCATTTCTCCCACCTTTCCCCCAACTGTCCTGGGGTCCTTTACATCATCTTTCAAAAATGTCTTATTATAAAGGGTTGTCCAATTCCAAGAAATGAATGTTGAAAATATGTCAAGGGATATACATGATAACCTTTCGGAGTATCTGTATTGCACACCATAATGCCCAAAAGGGGAGGAGGAATGGGGAAGGAGGAGGGGGAGTGAGAGAGAAGTGTCTGCCATAGAATGAGGTGGGGGTAGGGGGAGGGAAACTGGGGACATTGGTGGTGGAAAATGTACATTGCTGAAGGGATGAGTGATGAAACATTGTATGACCGAAACCCAATCAAAAGCAACTTTGTAACTGTATATATGTGATTCAATATTAGTTTTGTTTTAATTAAATTAGAATAAAGGGTTCAATTCAAACCACACAGGTTGTGAATTCCAGTCAGAGGACCTGGTAAAATCCTTCAAGTGACGTTGGAAATTGTATTGGAAAATGTGTTTATTTTTTGGTCTTGGGGCCACACTTGATGGTGCTCAAGGCTTACTACTGGCTCTGCACTCAGGGATCATCCTGGCAGGGCTCAAGTGACCATATGTGGTCCTAGGGATCAAGACTAAATCAGCTGTATACAAGGCAAGCACCTCACCCACTGTACTATCTCTCCAGCTCCTATGTTTAAGTTTTATGGCCTGGCATAGGGTGATAAACACTGGAAGACTATACTACTGCAGAATCCAGATGGGTGTACAAAAGATTTTGAAGCATCCCCAGCCCAGCAATGGGAACTGAAGAACATATAAGACAGACGTGTGCTAAAGAATCTGATTTCGTGTTGCTTAAATTCTCAGGACTCATCTTAATTCCAAAATATGAGCAAATAAATGTCTCGCTGCAACACTAACCCGTTCCCTCCAAACAGGAAAAAGCCTCTTGATCAACCTACTTTGAACATACGCGGTGCCACATGGGCATCCCTTCCAGACCACATCTGTTTAATGAGCTCTGCATAGGCCTCTGCGATTTCCCCTTTCATCCCCAGCGGGTTGTCTCTGTTGATCTCCGCTTCATATTCATCTTCAAGGAAGTAGTCAGTCAGTGGTGCGGTGTTGCTCAAGCACTGAAACAGAACGTCATCAAAGGGGGTCACCTCCCTTCTGGAGAGCAAGCAGGAATACATGACAAATCAAGTTCTAAAGGAGCAACATGGATGGATTCCAACAAAAGATGAAGCAGGCAGCGGATTCTCTGGAAGGCTAAGCCACTGCCACCCCAGAGCCTGAAGGACAGCGCATCTCCAGAAATATGATACCTCAGGAGCCCAGGGAACTTGTCTCAGAAACAAATCAGCTGACAGGAACAGTTGCATCTCCCAAGTGCCTGACATGTAGCAATATTCTAGTCAACTTGGGTTTGCTACATGCAAGGCAAGCCCCTTAACTGCCTCACCAACCCCCACCAGTTCACCCCCAAAATTATTTTTTCCCAAGAAAAATTTTTTTAATTTGGAGTGATAGCACAGTGGGTAAGGCACTGCCTTGCAGGCAGTCGACTTGGCTGATGTAGGTTCGATTCCTTTACCTCTCTCGGAGAGCCGGGCAAGCTACTGAGAGTATTTCATCCGCTCAGCAAAGCCCGGCAAGCTTCCAGCTTCCATTATGTACTTGTTATGCCAACACAGTAACAAGTTGTCACAATGGAGATGTTTCTGGGTCCACTCTAGCAAATCGATGAACTACCGGAGGACAGTGACAGTGACAGTTTTTGGTTCTGGGGTCCTACCTGGCTGTATTAGAGAGTCAAGCCCTCATACTCAGGGCTTACTCCTAGCTGTGCTCAAAGGTCACTACTAGCGGGGCTCAAGGGCCAGTGTGTGGTGACAGGGATTGAACCTGGGTCAGCCACATGCAAGACAAGCACCTTATCCACTGTATTCTCTCAGGCTCCAAGAAAATAATTGGGGGGGGGATAGGAGTGGGGAGGCTTAAGAGCCATAGTCCAGTGGCCAGTGGATAGGCTTCTTAACTTGCACCCAGCCAACTCAGGATCGATCCCCAACATCCCATATGTCCCAACACTGCCAAAAGCAATTCCTGAGTGCAGAGCCAGAAGTAAGCCCTTAGCACAGCTGTATATAGCCCCAAAACAAACAAAAAAACCACAAAAAGAAAATAAATACTTTTACTACAAAACCTAAATCTGGAACTGACAAGGACAACTGAGAACCACAAATCAATGATAAAGGCACGTTGTACCCTTAGAGGCAGTGGGAGGTGTCCTGGCAGAGTCCCTGAACTACCAACAACCAGACAGATGAAGACACCTGGGAGCTGACCCAGCCCAGCATCTCAGCAGCCACTGCCACGCAGGTCTCTACTACTACTGAGAAAACCGTGAGTTAACTGGACGAACGCTCTCCTCTACCTGCAAGGCTGAGTTCATGAAGCAGGTGTTCCCCAGGTTTCCGAGTCCACAGATCCCAGGTTGTACTTGAGATGACGAGGCCTCCTGACAATTATACGAAGCAGAGAAGCCAGAGCCACTGAAAGACAAAATCCAAATCAGCAATAAAAGTGAGTTCTGCACATGTGTCCTCAGGACACTTTGAGTCTCTCTAAGGCATCTCGGATTTTTATCTGGTAATAACCCCCTAATACAAGTTCCCTCTCCAGTCCCCTTCGCCAGTCCCCACCCGTGGCCCTGCCTTGATTCTGATTCTGACAAGATATCAGATGGTAAGCACATACTTAAGAGAAAGAAAAAATGATTTCTACAATCTCTGAATGTGGGCAATGGTTATTTTGTATCCTTTAGAAGGCTTTCATGGAAACACTTGGTGGTTACCAGGACCAGGGTCTTAAATGCTAACCACCACCGAAGCCCACATCCTATCTTGTGCACATCTAAATTCCCACATGCACCTTCTCTCACCTCACCCTCTCTTCCCACCTATCTAACACACGCGCACATGCACGCCAGATGTTCCTCAAGTACTTAGGACAAGAACTAAAGCCACTCAGAAGGGAATAAGCAGGACTCTCCCATGGCTGGGAACAATCCCCACAGCTGTTCTGCTCTGCGACTCGCTACAGTCACCAGTGACTTAGGCTGTGAAAGGAGAACACCAGCTCTCAGGAGGGGAAGCGTGAGGTAAGCTCCAACCAGGAGGCCCACTTTGCTGTGGTATGAGATGCAGTGAGAACCCTCACAGACCACGTTCCGGGGAAGGGGAGCACTCAAATCCCACCAGGTTTAGTACAGCAGCAGCCAGGATTTTTGAGGAAAGAAAAGCCGAGTGGAAGAGCCTGCGCTTACCCCCTGCTGACACCGGAACTGTGCACCCCAGAGGTGTTAGTGCTATCACCGTTTGCAATGGGAGAGGCAGCCGCTGAAGAGTAGGGGCTCGCTGACGATTTGGGAGAGGTAGTGAAATTTCTGCTAGGCGCAGTGCTTGATCTGAGAGAGAAGCAGAAACAATGCTACTGACATTTTGGAAAAGAACAAGTCCTGCTTAAGAATGCCTGAGTTTCAAGAAAATTAATGTTCTCCATATCCAGTTACTTCAACCGCAAAAGGTCTACTGTCCTGTTAGAGACATATTTTATTTAAATCAGAGTTTAATTCGTCTACACGATCATATACACAGTCTCTCAGGAGGATAAGATATTAAGGGTGCTCTTCAGGAAATCCTGGTTTAAATGAATCATTAATTTACAAAACATAAATGTACTTTTAATAGCTACCACAGATAGAGAAGAATTTCCCCAAAAATAATGAACCCAAATTAAATGGCTACAAGTGAACTGACTACAAGAGGAAAGTGGCACTCAGTTTCATTAAGCTCATTGAGAGGAGCTGTTTTATTTCCTCAAATTAACCAAACCAAATGCACCCTTTCAATTTCAAACTCATGTTTTGTTTTGTTTTTTTCAATTGGGGGGGGGGTTCAGAGGCTTGTATGGGCCACAGCCAGCAAGCGATGCACAGGGCTATCAGAACTATTCCTGGCTCTGTGCTCAGGAGTAACTGTCAGCAGGGCTCAATGTCTGGTGACATGCTGGAGAACCAAGGTTGCTTCATGCAGGCTAGCTCCTTCCCTCTTATACTCACTCTCTGGCCCACTCAAACTCATGCTCTAATGTTTTTTTATAGCAATGGTTCTCAATCACTAGTCAATCCACGAATCAGTGTGCAGACAGGTGCTTCAGGTGTAAAAAGGGTTAAAAACCAACGGAAAAAAATTGAGAGGGTAGGGGACGGGCCACACCTGACAGTGCACAGGTCTTACTCCTAGTTATGCACTCAGGGAATCACTCCTGGCAGGCTGAACCTTATGTGGTGCAGGGATTAAATCCGAGTCAATTGTGTGGAAGGCATGCACCACTACACTATCACTCCAGCCCTAGCATCTTATTTTAGATTTATTTTAGATTTATTCCTACTTTCAAATTAATTCAAGAACTAGTCATCCCAAATCTCTGTAATTTTCGAATTAACCTATACACAGGGAAAAATGAATCAACACTATTTCACATTTGTACATCTGGGGCGAAAGAAACAGTATAGCAGGTAGGGCATTTGCCTTGCACTCGGGCAACCCGGGTTCAATTCCCAGCATGCCATATGGTACAGGAGTAACCTGTACCATATGGCATCACTGGGAGTAGCCCCGAAACAAAAAAAAAAGGTGAGTTACTTTCAGAATACAGAGTAATGATTGAGATGTGCTGTCCTAGTATAGTGCCCAGTCTCCAAGCAAAACATGGCAACAAAGAGGAGAGACCCGTGTCATCAGTGGGCAGGCATCATCTAACTATCCAAGGGCCTGAGTGGGCAACTGGATCTGACCTAAATTTGACTCCATAACTTTGAGGTCAGAGCGAGAGGCAAAAAGCATGTCATAGTCTCTCACTTCTCCTGGGAAATGTACTTTCTCTAGCCCCAGAAAGCAGCAGCTTCAGTGCATCACCCTCAAGGAAGGGCAGAAATTCAGCCAGCAGCTCCTCATAGTACGGCCCATCAAGCCTGCTCTCCCACCTTACTGGTAATGTAAGCCCACATCTGAAGCCCCTCCAGCATCATGCAGGCACTCCCCAGTCTCCTGTGGAGGGAACACAGTCTGAAATCCAAGACTGGTATGAGATGCAAAGGCAGACTCAGGTATTGCAATAGTCAAGACAAGCATTTTGAGACAGTAAAATTCAAACTATGAGACATGAGACACAGCGAAAAAAATACAAGCACCTACGCAAATCATTCCATGTATCCAATACTTGCCAACTTCATAAACAGAAATATTCTGCCTGACCCCCACACCCCCCCCCCCCAAAAAAAAAAGAGGAATAAGGGCCAGACCAGGGCTGGAACGATAGCACAGCAAATAGGGTGTTTGCCTTGCATGCGGCCAACCTGGGTTCAATTCCCGGCATCCCATATGGTCCCCCAAGCACCACCAGGACTGATTCCTGAGTGCAGAGCCAGGAATAACCCCTGAGCATCGCTGGATGTGACCCAAAAAGCAAAAAATAAATAAATAAATAAATAAATAAAATAAGGGCCAGACCAATGTACAACAGGTAGGGCATTTGCCTTGCATGTGGCCGACTTGTGTTTGATACCAAGCATCCCATATGGTCCCAATGAGCACTGTCAGGAGTAATTTGAGTGCAGAGCCAGGAATAACCCCTGAGCTTCGCCAGGTGTGACCCAAAAAGAGTGTGGGGGGCAAGAGAGGAGAGAGAAAAGAACTGTAATAACTTTCAGAGTAAACTCAGCTAAAAAGAAACCCAAATAATAAATACAAAAAGTTGGGTTTGGGGACTGGAACGATAGCACAGTGGGTAAGGTGTTTGCTTTGCACACAGCCAATCTGGGTTTGATTCCCAGCATCCCATGTAGTCCCCTAAGCACTGCCAGTAATAATTCCTGAGTGCATGAGCCAGGAGAAACCCCTGTGCATCGCTGGGTGTGACCCCAAAAGCAAAAAACAGAAATAAAATTTTTTTTAAAAAATTGGTTTTTTGGTTTTTTTTGTGGTTCGAGGTACAGAACCCAGGGTCTATGCAAGGCAGGTACTCTATTAATAACAGGTGTTTCTTGGCTTTTTTTTTTCTTTCAAATTCGACTGCAATCAAAAGCAAGTCCTCCACGCAAAAGAGTGACTTTCCTTGCACTCTCCCCAATCCCCTCCCCACCTGAAAAGTGACTTGTAGCTGAGTTAATGCTTCAGTGTTGGGTCCAGGGGCTTGTCAATATTCCTTTGAGGGGAGAAGTTTCAGCGTACATGCTGAAATAAATAACTAGGAGAGCAAAGATCTCACACTCAAATATAACTGAGCCTGATGCCACCAACACTCTGAAGACAAAGTCTATTCACTCTGCTACTGACATACTGGTGAGCTCCATACTGGTGAGCTCCTGGTTTCTGCCAACTTTCTAGTGAGACAGTTCTTGCCCTTGGCATAGCAGATTATCAATACATCTCCTGAATCCATTGTTAAAGTTCTATAATATAACCACTACTCCACTGCACTCTTCTTGCCTCTGAGATGTTCTGCAGGCTGAATAACTGGCCAGGAGTGATGCCAGAGCAGAGCCAGGGGTGACCCATGAGCACTGGTGGGTGTGTCTCCTTGCCCCCTACTGCCCCCATAAAGAGGCGGGTAAGGCATTTGTTTACATACAGTTGAATCTAATCCCTGGTACCGCATATAGTCAAGTCCCACCAAGAGTGATCCCTGAGTGCACAGCCAGGAGTAAACCCTGGGTATGGCCCCCAAACCATATATAAACAACCTCAAACAAATGAAAAAAAAAATCAGGGGCCCAAGTGATGTTACAGCAGGTATGGCACTTGTCTTACACACAGCCTACCGGTGTTAGATCCCCAGCATTCCATATTGTCCCAAGTACCGCCAGGATTAATTTCTGAGCACTGCCAGGTGTGACCCCCCCCTCCTCAAAAAAAATCAGTTTTCCAGTAAGCTGCTTACATAACAAAGGCCAGGATACAGGCTCTAGATATGACACCAAATGTTCCCTTTTCACCTGCTCAGAAAAATTTTCTGGGTCAGGAGTGTGACTCAGTGGCAGATCGTTTGTGTCCTTGGGTTCAATTTTTGGCACTGCATGGTCCCCTGGGCACCTTTGGAAATGACCCTTATAATGCACTGTAGCATTGTCCTCCCATTGTTCATCAATTTGCTCAAGTGGGCACCAGTAACGTCTCCACTGTGAGACTTGCTGTTACTGTTTCTGGCATATTAAATACATCATGGGTAGCTTGCTAGGCTCTGCCGTGCAAGCAGGATACTCTCAGTAGCATGCCAGGCTCTTCGAGAGGGGCGGAGGAATCGAACCCGGGTTGGCAAACTCCCTCGCCCGACCCTTATAATAACCAAGCTTAAGTGTGACCCAAGAACAAATTTTAAAAAAATTCTTACACAAGTAACTGACTTTAAGATAGAATCTTTTTCTCCTGTGTGCCCACCCTCCTGCTGAAGGAAGTCCACTTACTTTGACTGAAGGGTCTGCCTCGGCCATGTACCATCTTCATTCTGAGGCTCAATTACTAGCACCTGAGTGAAAGAGACAATCAATGAAGCAGCAGCAAACCTGGAACCACCACACTCCTACCAAACTCAGTGCTAAGCTTTGCCACACTCCCTAAAGAGAACGGTCTGTGAAGCAAGGCCTGTGGCATCCTACCTGGCCCTGGTAAAGCCCCGCATCCTGAACAGTGTTGTCGAGCTTGCTCAACTGCTCATAGGTATTGCTCATGTATTTGTTCCACAGTCTTGTTTCACGCTCTGCAGGAATGTTGAACAGCTTCCGCATCTCCTTCTCAATGGTTGCTGGGGAAGGGCAGAAAAAAAAACACACAAATTCAGGACTATTTCTAGACACAAGGCTAAATAGAGACACATGCACTACTGCTCATCCCCCTTCCTTTTAAAATGTCCACTGGGTACTTTTGAGCACAAGTTCCAATTGACCTCAACCCCCTTCGGAATCACAAACATATGTGGATTATGTGGGTGTCTTGTATTCATACAGCCAGAAATTGTCCCTATGTTTCTCCTCCAATAATGTTTCCCACAGATAGCATAGAAACAACACAGAAAGTAGGGTGTTTGCCCTGCACATGGCAGCCCAGATTGGATCTAAGATACCACAGAAGATCCACTGCAGGGGCTGGAGTGATAGCACAGCGGGTAGGGCATTTGCCTTGCACGCGGCCCACCTGGGTTCAATTCCCAGCATCCCGAGCACCACCAGGAGTAATTCCTGAGAGCATGAGCCAGGAGGAACCCGGTATGACCCAAAAAAGAAAAAAAGAAAAAAGAGCCACTGAGTTCCACCGGAAGTGACTCCGAGCAGAGTCAGATCTCAGCAGCACTGAGTGGGGCCCCCACAAAAAAGAAAAAGTAACAAAATTTAACTTTACAGTTGAAAAGAATCCGCTGCCAAATACTTTCTCACTGAGAATTTTTTAATAAGTTACTTTAATAGGAGCCGAAGCAACAGTCCAGCAGGTAGGGCATGTTTGTCTTGCACCCAGCCCACCCCTATTCGATCCCCAGCATCCAAATAGTCCCCCAAGCACCACCAGGAGTAACTTCTGAGTGCAGAACCAGTAGTAACCCCTGAGCATCCTTGGGTGTGACCCAAAGGGAAAAAAGAAAGTTACTTTAATTTTTTTTCCTTTGTTCATACCAAGTTATCAAATGGGAAGGGATCAGTTGTTCCCCAGGGTTCTGAAGAACCTGATTCCTAAACTAAGTTCTCCATAAGAATTGGGGGCTGAGGGTAAGGGGTGAAGACTACAGAGGGCAAGAGGCTGCCTTGCATGTAGCTAGTGTACTGGCCATTGCATATGGTCCCCTGACCACTGCTCAGGAGTGACCCCTGAGCATAAAGCCAGAAATAAGCCCTGAGGACAGCCAGGCGTGACCCAAAAGCAAAACAGAAAACTGGGGCCATGGCAACAGAAATGAAGAATAGCAGAACTGGCGTTCAGCAGTAGGAAGCTTGACACTAGGGCAGGGGTGAGGATAAGTTAGGGATGGGAACACGAGGACATGGAAGAGGACAAAGTGCCTGCCACAGAGGGAGTCTGGGGTGTGGGAGGAAAATTAGGGACATTGGTGGAGGGTAGTGAGCACTAGTAAAAGGACAGGTGTTCAAACAATACACTGCCTGAAACTCAATCATAAATAGCTCTGTAACTTTGTTATGCACAGTAATTCAATTGAGAGAGAGAGAGAGAAAATTGGGGTCAAAACAATAGTAAAGAGGGCAGGGTTTTGCCTTGCACATGGCAGAACTGTATTCTAACCCAACACTCCCCGAGTGATCCCTGAGCTCACTGTCAGGAATAAGCTGGGTGTGGCCAAAACAAAAAAAATCAGCACCCTCTCCTCCCATGGGACCATCCCCCCATATGGACCCCCACCCCTGCCAGGAGTTATCTCTGAGCACACAGCCAGAGGAAGCCTTGAGTAAGGCTGGGTGAGGTCCCAAAACAAAAACAAACAAAAAACTAGTAACCAGATTTCAAGATTATGACCTGAGTAACAATTCTGAAGAGGATGCCAGATACAGCTCAACCAGCTGAGTACATGCTGTGTATGTAGAAAGTCCAGGTTCAATCCCCACAGAGCACTCAAGAGTAAAAGCCCCAAGCAGAGAGGTTGGAGCAACCCCCAAGCACTGCAGGATGAGTTCCCCCCACCTCACGGAAAGGAAGGAAGGAAGGAAGGAAGGAAGGAAGGAAGGAAGGAAGGAAGGAAGGAAGGAAAAGAAAGAAAGGAGCGATAGCACAGTGGGTAGGGCATATTTGCCTTGCACGCAGCCGACCTGGGTTCGATTCCCAGCATCCCTGAGCACTGCCAGGAGTAATTCCTGAGTGCAAAGCCAGGAGTAAGCCCTGTGCATCACAGGATGCGACCCAAAAAGGAGAGAGAGAGAGAGAGAGAGAGAGAAAGAACTTTTAAAAAGGCCTCCCCAGGCCAGAGAATAGAGTATGGGACTTACCTGCACATAGCCAAAGCCAAACTAGGATTGATCCCTGGCACCACATATGGTCGCCTGGACAACTGGTGTAAGACCTGAACACTGCAGGATCCTGCCCACCACCCCAGCCCATCCCACCCAAAAAAAAAAAAAAAGAGAGAGAAGACATCTCAGCTTCCTTCCGAAGTACTCTGTATCCCTGCACTAAATACCTGGAGCTCTGGTCCACCTACTCACCAATGGTATCTGCCTTGCTGAAATGGCAACTCAGAACATTGGTGGGGTCACTATTCTCACAGAGCTTCAGTTCCAGCAAGTACACTTCCACTTTGCAGTGTTTGACAAACAGGCCATGCTCCACAACCTATAAATAAGCAGCATGGATTAAGAAGCATGAGTCCAGAAGTAGAGCAAAAGAACAGCGAGTAGGATATTTGCCTTGTAAGTGGCTGACCTGGGTTCAATCCCTGAACATCCCATATGGTCCCCGAGCACCTCCAGGAGTAATTCCTAAATGCAGAGCCAGGAGTATCCCCTGAGCATCCCCAGGTGTGGTTCAAAAATACAAACAAACAAAAGAAGCATGATTTCACATTGAATTATCTTGAAAATTCTATGTCTCAAAAGTAGCAAAAGACAGAATCCACATGATTACCAGCTGAAAGTGATCAGAGCCCAGACACTTAAAAACACCAACAGGCAAAACAATGGTGGGCCTAAGAGACAGAACAGAAGTTAAGGTACTTTGTGTAAGAAGTTGATCGGGGTTCATTCCCAGCAGTATGCGAGTCCCCCAAGTGCTGCCAGGGGTGAAACCTGAGCACAGGCATGTGTGACACCAAAATAAAAATAAAGAAAACAAAACCCAACAGCAGGACCAGAAAGCTCGTGGAGTTTAAGGAGCCTGCCTGGCATTTAGCCAACCCTGGTTCAAGTCCACATATGGTCTCCTGAACACAGAACCAGGATCAGCCTCAAAGCACCATCAGCAAGGAGTTTAAAAACTTTTCCTGAGGGAGCTGAAGTGACAGTACAGAGGATAGGGCGTTTGCCTTGCACACAGCTGACCTGTGTTCCTTCCGTGGCATCCCTATGGTTCGCCGAGCACCACCAGGAGTGACTCCTGAGTGCAGAGCCAGGAGTAACCCCTGAGCACCACAGGGTGATGCTCATAAAGCAAAAAAATAAATAAAAATAAATAACTTTTATTGAGCTCATTAGGCCCAATCAAGAGCACCTTGATGGAATCAGACCTAGCAACACTGAACAATAATGAAGTGTAATTTTTCATTCCTTTCAGGATTTGGTCAAATCAAAGACACAGTTTAACCCTAGGCAAAATGCTCACACCACGACAGCACTGTGGGCATGAGATATTGATAGAAAGCTGGAAGTATGCTAACCACTGACTACTAACCTTATTCCTAGCTGAAAAAAGAAAATGGTAGGTCAGGGGGCCCAGAAGATAGGTCTAAGGGTTCTGAATATGGTTCCCAGCACCACATGGCCTCCTGAACACAAAGTATACCCTGACAGCAACCAGCAGACCTGGGGAGCTCTGAACCATAACCCAAAGGGGAAAAAAAAAGATAGTTCTGGCCCTAAGAGGTAACTCTTGGCTCAAGCTTCAGGACTGCAACCATTTCCTAGACACCAGGAAGAACAAGAAACTCACCCAATGCCTAAACTCTCGTGATTTTGCCTCCAGTAAAATAAGACAACAATGTGCAGGTCACAGAGGTGATCTCATGACTCTCAGGAGGGTTAACAATCTGGGTTTCTGTGCTAGGGACATGGCTCTGGGGTTAAAGAATACGCAAGGCCCTAGTCTGATCCCCAGCATCACATCAAACTATCCTGCCTGGGTCACCACGTAACGCTGGAAGGGGCCCCTGGCCCTCTGAGTACTATTTGGGAGCCCCCTCCCCACCCCACCCCAAAGAATGGGACAATCTAACTTCCAATCTCAAAAGTGGTACCTTCCCTTAAGAAGCTAACCTTGGGACCAGAGAAATAGCACAGCAGGAAAGGCGCTTGCCCTGCATGCCAACCCTCGTTCAATCCTGAGCACCTGGGATGATTCCCTGAGCACAGCCACAAGAAATTCCTGAGCTCAGAACCAGGAGTAAGCCCTGAGCGTCATTATTATTGCCCCCAAAACAAACTAAAAGGCTACAAGGTAAGCAATATATTATTATAATCCAATGTGACCCAGAATAAACTTTCAATCTTCTAGAGACCTGAGAGAACATTCAAACAGCTGGGCACATGCTTTGGACAGAGGAGGTTTAGATTTGGTCCTGAGCACCACATGGTCCCCTAAGCACAGCCAGGAAGAAGCCCCACAATGCCAGTTGTGTTCCCTGAGTACCCCAAAACACATCTGATATTGGGAGGCCACTCACTGGAACATTTAGCTTGAACAACCATTTAGATACATTTAGATACCCCAGGAAACCAAAACCATCAGTGTCACCCCAAGGAGCACACAGACACTAACCAGCAAGTATGACAATTCAGGTACTCACCTTTCTCACAATGGGCTGCTGCCCTTCAACACAGCCATACCAGTTTAACAACTTGTTCCAGGCCTCAGTTGGGACCAAAACATAATCCAATTCATCAATTAAATGTTCTTTCAGGGTCTGACTCTCTGGATCTGACATAGAAAAAAGCCAATGATTCACATGTTATTTTACTTTTTTCTATTTTAATTGGGGCTGGAGCGATAGCACAGTGGTAAGGCGTTTGCCTTGCACACGGCCAGCCCGGCCAACCCAGGTTCTATTTCTCCGCCCCTCTCGGAGAGCCCAGCAAGCTACCGAGATTATCTTGCCTGCACAGCAAAGCCTGGCAAGCTACCCGTGACGTATTCGATATGCCAAACAAGTAACAACAAGTCTCATGATGGAGACGTTACTGGGCCCGCTCGAGCAAATAAATGAATGGGAGGACAGTGCTACAGTGCTATTTTAATATACACATATATTATCTCTACGATAATAAAAAGTGTCAATGTTTATGCTTTTGGTATACAAAGTTTAGACTTCCACCATCATCAATGTATTTTTTTTGTTTGTTTTTGTTGGTTTTTGGGTCACACTCAGTGATGCTGGGGGCGGGGAGGGGGTGTGTGTTACAACTAGCTCTGGACTCAGAAATTACTCCTGGCAGTGTTCAGGGGGGCATATGGGATGCCAGGGATCAAAGCTGGGTCTGCTGCTTACAAGGCAAACACCCTACCCACGGTAATATTGCTGCCCCCCCCCCACCACCACCACCCATGGTCCTATCTTTTTTCAAAAATAAGAATTTAGGGACCAGAGAGCTAGCATAGGGGTAAGGCCATTAACTTGCACAAAATGCAGGAGTAAGCTCTAAATACCACAGGTGTGGTCCCCAAACAAACCAAAAAACAAAAAGGACTCAAGGGCCAGATAGCTAGTATAGCAGGCAGGCACTTGCCTTGCTTGCAGAAAACTTGAGTCGATACCCAGCACTTTATATGGTCCCCAAGCACCCCCAAGAGTGATCCCTAAGCACTACATAGTTCCCAAACGCACCAAGCTGAGGCCATGGGTTCTCTCCAGCACTCCAGAAAAAAAAAATGGTAGGGGCTGGAGAGGGAGTAGAACAAGGTGCTTGCCTTGCATGAACATGACCAAGGTTTGATCCTGGGCAACATGAAGGGTGCCCTGAACAACTCTGAGAGTTACTGAGCACAGACTCAGGAATAGCCCTTTGAGCACCAGCAGGTATGGTCCAAAATAAATAAATAAATAGAAAACTTCTAATTTACCATTTTTTTTCACCAAAGATACATCATTCCAAAACTGCTAATATTCTACTAAAGTCTAAATGGAATGTGAGTCTCACCTCCTAAGGCTACAGTAAATGTTTCAAGACAGAGGAGTCAGGTGCTACTGGATTGGGTAACTATGATAGAAATGGTTACCCCTCGCTGAAAATCATGCAACTATTTTTAGGGACCCTCCAGCAGTAGGATTCTCATCACCATCACATTTAAAAGCCTCAAGATTATTTCTTTTCCCAAAAAAGGGGGGGTATAGGGAAGACAAAGTAAAAGCATAATGGAGTGATCCTTGGAAACAACTTGAGGTCTAACACTATACCACCTGACTGCCTTCAGGAAACAGGCACAATCGGGCTAGAGATACAGCACAGCGGGGAGGGTGTTTGCCTTGCACGCAGCCAACCCAGCTTCAATTTACAGCTTCGATCCCATATGGCCCCCTGAGCACCGCCAGGAGTAATTCCTGAGTGCAGAGCCAGGAGTAACCCCTGTGTATCGCTGCCGAGTATGACCCAAAAAGCAAAAAAAAAAAAAAAAAAGCATAAGACATAATTATTATGTCGTTTAGATCTTCCCTGAAAACAAGCTCTCCACTGAAGTTCTACTCATTTAAAAAAAACTCTTAGATTAGGTAGCTGAAACCAGCCTCATGCCTATGTCTTCTTGCTGCCCTAATTTTAAGTAAGGACAATAGATGCCCTCTCTCCTGCTTGCAAGGGCAAAACAAAATCTGAGAAAAACCAACTGTCATTTTGTGCATCCACAGATACAAGCCAAGCTCCGGTGTGTCATACATTGATGTTTCAAACAGATCTTCCATTGGGAACAGATGGTGACAACTCTACTCCCACCTCTCCTCACATTACAACTATACAAGAATATTTAACGATGGTCACTGGGTCTGTAATCCAGTGTCAAGGTAACACAAAGAATTCAGGGGGGTATGAGACAGGAGAGGAGTTAAGACAGTAGCCTTGCACTGAGCTGACCTCAGACTGAATATGATCCCTTGAGCACTGAGAGGGACCCCTGAGCACAGACTCAAGAATAGCCACAGAACATCGCTGGATGTGGCCCAAACCCCACTAAGTTCAAGATAGAACTTAAGGGGCTGAGTACATGCTTTGCATGCAGGAAGACTGGGTTCCATCACCAGCACTCTATGCTGAGAGTTGACAGAAGTAGCTCAAAAGCAAAACAAAATAACAAAAATTTAATGGTAGGCATTCTTCTGTCAGAAGCAGTTACTTTAAGAATAAAAAAAGCAGTGGCTGGGGAGGAGATAGTACAGCGGGTAAAGCCTTGCACAAGGCCAACCTGGATTCAATCCCTGACACCCGATATAGTCCCCCAAGTCCCGCCAGTAATGATGTGAGCACAGAGCCAGGAGTAAGCCCATAGTACTGCTGGGCATGGGCCGAAAAAAAAAGGCTGGGGGAGCAACCTGCCTTTTAAATGAGAATTTGTAAAGGCTTCAGCTATAGATACAAATCAAGTGTGATTATTATCTCTCCACACAAGAGAAGCCAGGTTCACAATATTCATGTTACAGATAAACACAATGTTAGGACACTGCCCAGGTGAATATTTTAATTAAAAAAGCAACAGGCAGGGACTGGAGCGACAGTATAGCGGGTAGGGCATTTGCCTTGCACACAGCTGACAAATGCCGATCTCCAGCATCCCTTATAGTCCCCCAAGCACCTCCAGGAGTAATTCCTGAGTGCAGAGTCAGGAGTAACCCCTGTGCATCGCCGGGTGTGACCCCAAAAGAAAAGCAACAGGCAGGGATCAGAGCACTAGTACAGCTAGTAGGGCATGCCTCCATGCAGCCCACCCAGGTTTGATCCCAGGCATCCCATAATGTCTCCCAAGCATCTCCAGGAGAAAATCCTTACAAGCCAGAGTAATCCCTGAGCATCACTGGGTATAAACCCCTGGCCCTGCCACTCCCCCCGAAAATAAGAAAGAAAAGCAACAGGCAGGGCTGAAGCAATATTACAGCAGGTAGGTCATTTGCCTTGCATATAGGTGACCCAGGTTCAATCCCCAGCACCCCACATTGCCCCCATGACTGTCGGTAACCCCTAAAAAAAGGAAGAGGAGGGGAGAGAGGGAGAGGGAGAGGGAGAGGGAGAGGGAGAGGGAGAGAGAGAGAGAGAGAGAGAGAGAGAGAGAGAGAGAGAGAGAGAGAAGAAATGCAACAAGACGGCTAGAGAGATACAGGTAGGGTGGCTAATAACCTGGGTTCCATCCCCCCACCCTTCCTCCAGGAGTGATTCCTCAGTGCAGAGCCAGAAGTTAGCCTTGAGCACCAATGGGTGTGGCTAAGAAAGAAAGGAAGGAAGGAGGGAAGGAGGGGAAGGAAAGAAAAGAAAGAAAAAGAGAGAAAGAAGGAGGGAAGGAGGGAGGGAGGGAGGGAAGGGAAGGGAAGGAGAGAGAAAGAAAGAAAAGAAAGAAAAGAAAGAAAGAAAGAAAGAAAGAAAGAAAGAAAGAAAGAAAGAAAGACACGTGTTCCCACAGAAGAGCTGGAGAGATAGTAAAAAGGTTAAGACATTTGCCCTGGGGCTGGAGCGATAGTAGGGCAGTAGGGCAGGTAGCGCCTTGCCTTTGGTCAGGCTGACCAGGCTGGATTCCCGGCGTCCTAAGAGCCAGGAGCTATTCCTGAGCATTGCTGGGTAATACCCACCTCAAAAGACACTTGCCCTGCATATGCTTGGTCCCCTTAGCACTGCTGGGAGTGACCCAGAACAGAGCCAGAAGTCCTGAGTACTGTTGGGTATGATCCAAACACACACACTCCCCCACCAAAACAGAAGAGAAAAACCAACAGAATACTGCACCTGAAAAGAGTCCAGAGTTATCTATTGGGCCTGGAAACAGGTTGTGTTCACCCACATTGTACATATCCCAGCTGTCGAAGCCCACATATTTCTTCCACTGCTTAAACCACCGACTGTCAATAAGATACCTAGGGACAGACAAAAAATAAATAAATAAATAAATAAATAAAATAACTATACCAGGAAAGTATCTGCAGCTGCCCCCTTAATGTTTAAATGACCTCTTCAATTGGGGACCAAACAACCACCAAATAATTAACCCTCAAGAGCAGTAGGGCCAGCCAGGCTTCACAGGGCACAGAGCCTGGCCCAGGATAGAGACAGGCCAAGTGCACTGATTGTTCAAAAAAAGAAAGGACAAGGGCTGGAGTGATAGCACAGTGGGTAGGGCATTTGCCTTGCACGCGGTTGACCGGAGTTCAATTCCCAGCAACCCATATGGACCCCCAAGCACTGCCAGGAATAATTCCCGAGTGCATGAGCCAGGAGTAACACGTGTGCATTGCCGGGTGTGATCCAAAAATCAAAAATAAGGACAATAATTGGAAATTATTTTCTTTAAGGTGCATATTTAAATATTTCTATGGCCAAAATGTTATTGCAAGTGACCAGCTGAATAATTTTATAATGATCTTTATAGAGATCCTTGTTTAGGAACTCGAGTGGGAATACAACTTCTGTGGGGATACAAAGCAAAACAATTATTACCAACATACTTCAGCTTTGCAGGTAGGAGACCCAAGTTCAATCCCGAATACCACATGGTCCCCCAAGCACTGCCTGGAGTGACCTCCAGCAGTGTCACCAAAGCAACCCCAATCACCGCTAGACGGGGTCCAAAACACAACACCAACCAATATACTTGGTATCAGACAGCTTCCCAGAGTCCATGATCAAGGTTCGCAAACCTACAACTGGTATCATACAGCTTCCCAGAGTCCATGATCAAGGTTCGCAAACCTACGATTCAGCAAATTAATCAGTACTGTAGCACTGTCCTCCGGTTGTTCATCAATTTGCTCAAGCAGACCCAGTAACAGCTCCATTTTGAGACTTTTTGTTACTGTTTGGCATATGTCAGGGTAGCTTGCTAGGCTTTGCCCTGCAGGCGAGATACTCTTGGTAGCTTGGGGGGGGGGGGGGCCTCAGTACCTCTCTAAAAAATCTTTTTAAGTCAAATGCTAAGTTTGCTCCCCCTCCCCCAACTGCACCCAAGCTGCTACTACTGATGGCAAGATCCTTAGACGGCAGCCTGTGCCCTGGTTAACTACAGCCCAATCAATAAACACATCTCAGTCTCTCAAGTGCTTTTTTCCCCTCCATTTTCCTCTGCTTTTGCTGAGTCTACTTTTCCTGATCTCTAGGGCAACCCCCAGAGATGCTCAGGGGCTGCTCCTAGAGGTGCTCAGGGGTCCAGGAGGCTTCAAAACAGAACTGGGGCTTCAGCATGTGCTGAGGAGCTCAACCCATCCAGCTCTCAACTACCCTTGAAGAGCATTTTTCTTCCATCATACCTTCGCAAGGTAACTTCCACAGGTACCTGACTGCGCTGATTTTCTCAGCTTGGGAACCTGTAAAGCTATACCTGATCTCCACCTGACCCCTCTGCTTCCCTTCCCTGCTCCATGAACCTAAATTATATCCCGGTCGCCTCCCTGCTCTATCCCTGCTGCTGCCGAGGGCTGTTGCGGGCTCCACCTGGCTTCCTAAAAGCAGGGGCCACTCAATGGTACTCAACGCAAAGCCAAACCCTAATTTTCAACTCCCTCACTACTCTACCCATCAATTTCTTCACTAGTATACTGTCCCTTCTTACCCAACCCCCTCCCTCCCCCCCAAAATATATATATACACATTAAGAAACCTCTTGTCTTTGAGGGGGCGGGGATGTAGTCCCGATGGTAAAAGCACTTGCCTTGCATAAGTGAGGCCCTGAGGTCCGATGTCCTGGCATGGCAAAAACAACAACAAACCTCTTGTCTCAGACTCGGTCCTCTGAATACTAGACCTATCTTCATTTCAGCTAGGTTACAGGCTTCCTTACCCTTCGACTCTGAAACGATGCTACCGCCACAATAATTTATGACATTTACCGCCAAATACCCAGAGCTCTCTCTCGCTTCTGACCTTGACATCTGTTCCGCAGCTTACAAGTTACAAAGAATCTACTTCGAATCTCGCCTCCAGCCACCGAGAGGGGACGGGGGAGTCGCCGATGCCACCAGTCACTAACCGGGTCTGAGAGTCGTGGGCGCTTCTTTGCCCAAGGTCACACGGCAAGCGCTCGCAGGTAAAGCGCTCTCCCCACCGGGAAGGTCCCCGGGGAGCGCAACCTCCTCCCCATCCATCCCGCAGCCCTGGCCCTCCGCCGGCCCTGGCCCCGGGGGCTGCGAACGAGCAGGGTCCACCCTCGGCTACACCTGCACGTCCCGAGAGGTGCCCTCCTGGCTTCTCGCCCAAGGGGCAAGCCCCTCTCCGCGGGTCACTAACATCGCCTCCTCCGCACGGCCAGTGTCCAAGCCGGTCAGGAGCGGCCCAGCCTGGGGCCCGGAGTCCTCGGCCCCGGGCCAGCAGCGGCAGCCGAAAGCCCGGCCCGACGCTCACCACTGCGCCCCTCGCTGGAGCGTGGTCCTCATCAGGGCCCCCAGCTCGGTTTTCTGGGTCTCCGCATCCGGTCGCTCACGGCAGCCTCCGCCTTCCGCCATCTCGTCCGCGGCCCCGGCCCAGCCGGCCCGGACATCCGCCTCACGCACAGCGTGCTGCGGGCCGCGCCCACGCACGCACACACGCACACGCGCACACGCGCGAGCGCGCGCCTGCCCGAGCCGGAGCGCGCGCCCCGCCCCGCGCGCCGCCCCTGGCCCGCGGGGGCGCGGAGGGGCCGGCGGGCCGGAAGAGGAGGCGGGCGCCGGGCTTCCGCTCCTGCGGTTGCAGCCCCCGCTCGCCCCCTGCTTCCCTTTCTTCCTCAAGCCCGGCCCCCTCCGGGCGTGCACTCGCAGGCTCGTGACCCCTTAAGCACGCCATCCGGCTTGTGGGTATCCTGGAGGGAAGCAAACGCAGGGCCACATGCAAGAAGCCCTGGGTACTAGAATTTTCCAGTGCTGGAGACCTCCGGGGAGACCTTAAGCCTCCAGACCGAAGCGCCAGGTGCCTGGCCATTAGGCCCTGCGGGATGTGGAAGGATCCCAAGGGTCACCTAAGTCTAACGACGCCTGGACGCCTGTCACACGGTCCCAGAAACTCTCCACACTGGTGCCGGGGACACCAGCAGCCACACAGGAGCGACAGCAACTGGGGGATGGGGGAGGAGGCTCGCTGGGGTTTTCACATTATTTGTCGGCTCCTTAATTTGTTCCTGCAGTGAGATATTGTCTTGAACACTTACTTTCCCTTCCCACACGACCCCTCATACAAAGGTACTGCCAGGCTCCTCCTGGAGAGGTAAGTCCAGGGTCAATATGAGGGAAAACGCTTGAGCTCCGCTCACTGGTCTGGCATTTCCAGCCCTCTGAGAAAAATAATACCAGTCCCTGCCCTTCTACAGTCCAATAGAGGAGAGGTATACACATAATCCCAGCACCAAATGTGCTCTGTGCCATTAGAGATGTGAGGCAAGATCCAGACCTGAGCTGTCAAGAGGGACTGACAAGAAGCTTTTGGTGGCTCTTTGGTAGGCCACACAGCCCCAGGAGCTACTCCAAGGCTCAGCACTTGGGACCACATGGTTCTGGAGTTGGAGCCCAAGCCTTGGTATGTAAAGGTTCAGCCCTTGAGCTACCTCTCAGCTCTTGAACGTGGTGTAGAAAAAAAGTATATAAATAAGGATGTATGTTAGGAGAGGAGTCAAAGAGAGCTTCCTGAACAGGAAGGACAGAATCAAAAAAATGAGCGGCCCAGAGCAATAGTACAGTAGGGAGGGCGTTTGCTTTGCATGCAACCAATCGGGGTTTGATACCTGGTACCCCATATGGTCCCTCAAGCCTGTCAGGAGTAAGCCCTGAGAGTCTGGCCAAAAACAGGAAAAAATTAGTGAGGATTAGGCTAATAGTGCAGGGCATACATTACTGAAAAAACCTGGGATCTATAGCCAGAAGGGAAAAATATTAAAAGGAAGGAGACCACTGTGCCCACATGCCTGTCTGAACTGGCTGCAGATAGTGTCAGAAGGCTTGAAGCAGTGACTGGAGGACTAATGGTGCTCTACCCCTGTAGTGCACTGTCCAGCCCAGAAGCCTGTGAAGAATGTTCCAGTGAGAGGTGGCTGCATGGGAGTAGAGGAAAAACAGGTGAACCCATGTTCACTGTTGATGTGGAGGAAAGAAAGAGAGCAGGCCAGATGAAAGTGTGGTAGATCATTTAAACAGATTGATGTTTTTAGGTTGGGTTTTGGCTAATTGAAATTAATTAGCACCACCTGGTAACAGAGGCCTCTTGGCTGTGGGTAGATAGCAGGTCAAAGTGAATTTGGAAGTAAATTGCCTCGAATAATCACATAATAATTAATCTTCTACATAAAAATTATCATCTGTTGATAATTCTATGGTTACCTTTCTGCAAAAATTCTTTGAAATTGTTTTAAAAAATGGACTGGAGAGAGTACAGGTGCTTGATTTGCTTGCAGGTGACCTGGATTAAATCCCTGGCACTACACATAGTCCTCTGAGGCCTGCCAGGAGTGATTCCTGAGCACAGAGCCAGGAGTAAGGCCTGACCACTGCTGGTTGTGACCCCAAAACAAAACAAACAAACAAAAATGTAATGAAGGGACCAGGAAGATATACGGGGTTAAGATGATTGCCTTACAATGACCCTCATTTTGTCCTCCGTACCACATATGGTCTCCCAGCACTGCCAGGAGTGATTCCTCAGCACAGAGCCAGGAGTAAGCTGCAAACGCAGCCAGGTGGACACCACCCCACACCCAAGTGGAATCAAATGAGAACTATTACTTTAAGTGCTCTTATTTATGGGGGCAAAGTTGGGTTACCTACTTCAGAACCTACATTCAAAGTTCTGCTTCCCTCTTCTTATTTTTAAGTAGTTCCTCCTATACCATTTATAGTGTGGACCAGAGTCTTAAAGGAAGTAGGACAAGTCCTCAGCACCACTAGAAAGGGGGACAAAACCTAATTATAAACTGGAAAACTTTAGAAAATCTTTTTAAACCAGATTGTTTCAGTTCTATTAAAACACTGTAAAAATAGCCTTAATCTGGGAGGGTGGGGAGGTAGTGGGAGGGAAACTGGGAGCACTGGTGGTGGGAAATGTACTAGCAGAGGATTGGGTGTTGAAACACTGTATTTGACTGAAACCTAATCATGAGCAACTTTATAACTGTATCTTACAGTGATTCCATTAAAAAAATAGCCCTAATCATGTATACTTCCTGAAATTTTTATGTTAAGATTACAAAGTATCAGGGTCTGGGGGAATAGGATAGAAACCGGGCTACAACTACCCGGGAGAGAGATGTTCAACCAGGTGGAGGAGGGGGTGCCGAAAGGGATAGAGTTATGCATGAAACGCAGTTAACGGTACTGTAAACCGCAGTGCAAAAACTTCTTTCAAAAAGTGCATCTCACAGAGGCAGGCTGGTGGGGGAGAGGCCAGTGGGGGAGGGGGAGACTGGTGGAAGGAAGTTGACACAGTTGAAGGGTTCAGTGTTGAAACATTGTATGCCTGAAACCAAATCTCGAATAACTGTAATTTCATAGTGACTAAATCAATTTTTTTTAAGTGCCTGGAGTGTAACCCCAGAGGTAGAATTCACTGTGGCACTTCTTCCCCTCTTCTCTTTCCACTTGTTGTTGCTGTGGTAATAGCTCGCTCATAGCTGGCCATATACTTGCATGTTAGTTGTGGTGCTTGCTAAGGTCAGCCCACCAGTGGAGGGTCCTTCTGTGCTCCCTGTAGATCACTGGAAGTTACCTTCCTGGCTATGATGATGGCAGATGGACTCTCTCTCTTTCTCTCTCTCCCCGCCCCCCTTCGCACATCTCTTCTAGTGGTGTCCACTGGCATTTGATTCCTTTTTGTGTTGAGCTCAAATACCTGACTGTGGTGCTACCAGAAATAGCTCATGGTGCACAAGATCACAGAGAAGTTCCAGATCCCTCTCTGTGCAGGAATAACTAGTGGGATCCAACTCAAGACCAGCATCCTAAGCTGTCCCCGTTGGCAGTGCTCAGGGACAATAAAGTGCCAGGGATTGAATTCAGGGCTTCCATATGCCAGATTTGCGCTCCAGCCCTTTGAGCAATCTCCCTAGCTCCTCAAAATTTTGGGGGGCCATACCCAGCAGTACTCAGAGGTCCTCCTAGGATTGCTCAGGAAACTGCAGTGTCAAGGGGTCAAATCACAGGCTCCTCTGTGAAGTGGGCACTCCAATCTTCATCTTTCCCACTCCATCCCCTCCTTTTAAAAAATTGAATACTTTATTTTATATATATTTTATATTTTGGGCACATCCAGCAGTGATCAGGAATTACTCCTGGCTCTGTGCTAGGAATTATTACTGGCAGTTTTCAGGGACCAAACTGAATCAGGTACATGCAAGACAAATGCCCTACCTGCTGTACTATTCCCCAACTTGTGTGTGTGTGTGTGTGTTATAATATTGGTCTTTTTTGGCCGGGGCTGGAGCGATAGCACAGCGGGTAGGGCATTCGCTTTACAAGCGGCCAACATGGCCGACCCGAGTTCGATTCCTCCGCCCCTCTCGGAGAGCCCGGCAAGCTACCGAGAGTATTCGATTTGCCAGACACAGTAACAACAAAGTCTCCAATGGAGACGTTACTGGGCCCGCTCGAGCAAATCGACGATCAACGGGAGGGCCTTTACCTTTTTTGGCCAAACCTGGCAGTGTTCAGGGTTTACTGCTGACTCTGTGCTCAGGAATAACTCCTGGCAGGGCTAAGGAGGCCATATGGGATACTGGGGATCAAACCTGAATAGGCTACATGAAAGGAAAGCGCCCTACCCTCTGTACTATGTCTCCAGCTCCTGTTTCCAGACTTGTTTTTTGGGCCACACCTGGCAATCTTAGGATTTATTTCTGGCTCTGCACTCAGGGATGACTCTTGGTAGGATTCCAGGGACCATATGGGGTGTCACGGATCAATGCCCAGTCAACCTCCTGTAAAGGCAAGCACCCTATCCACTGTACTATTGCTCCAACCCAAGAAAAAGTTTTTCATTGGGGCCATGGGTCACATTTTAAATTGGGTACAGGGGTTAAGGCCTTATCTTGCATGCAGTGAACCTCATTTCCCTAAACCCTGCCACAGGAATGATCCCTAAGTGTAGAGACAGGAGTAAATTCTTTTTTTTTTTTAGGAGTAAATTCTGAGCATAGTTGAGTACAACTTCCCATGCCCCAAAACACACACACACACACACACACACACACACACACACACACCATTTTCTAGGGCGGGAGAGAGCTAGCAATTAAGTCATCTTCCTTTCCTGTGGTCATCCAGGGGATTCAATTTACACCCACCACATAGGTTTGTTCAAGCCCCACTAGGAGTCATAAGCCAGGAGTAAGCCTTACCACTGTGGATGAGACCCCCGAACCAATATAATGAATTAAAAAAATAATGGTCTCCTGAGCACTGGGCTGGAGTGATAGCACAGCATTTGCCTTGCAAGCGGCCGGCCTGGCTGAGCTGGGTTCAATCCCTCCGCCCCTTTCGGAGAGCCAGCAAGCTACTGAGAGTATCTCACCCGCACGGCAAAGCCTGGCAAGCTACCCGTGACGTATTCAA